GTTGTTTAGAAGTCTTGATTTCATCTCTGCACCAGAACAGGGTTTTAGTTCTCCTTATTAATGATAGAACTGTGGGGTTTTTTACTCATTAGCTTAAGTCTTCTTAGAAGTATTCTAGTTTTCATTCATGTTTTTCTGCCTAGGAATATTTCAGGCCCATTCAGTTTTCATTAATTGATCTTCACTTTATTCTCTGATGCAAACAGATGCTAACTTCACTGATGTCAGTCCTGTCTATACGGTTACTAGTTTTCTAAATCAATATACAGAAATAGGCTAGTTAAAGTAGTACAAGCTCCTACTGTGATATATAGTTCCAGCACATGCTGTTAAGGTACTTATTACACTTTTACAAACAAGCCACTGAAGTGCGTTTTACAGGATGAGAGAAGATTTACCTTGATGCCAAAGGCTGCCCTCTCAAGGCCCTGCTACTTCACACTGACTAAGAACAGATCAGCGGCATTCAAATGGAAGGCAAGTCTTTTCCTTTAAAAATAAGTAGCATCGCAAAAGGAGGTCCAGAATTTAGTATTACTCCATATCACATACACATTTTTGAAAGCAAGGTACAGTTATGAAACATTTGAAAGTTAAACCAGTTGGTTACAAAAATAGTGACAAAAAGCTATCAAATATTTATGACCAGCCTTTCAGAGGTATGTTAGAAAACCAAAAATGATAGCTTACTTGTCTCTTTCCTCCTGAGATAGTGCTCTCCAAATAACTAGGTTCAGGCGCCTATTAAAGAAAGCAAAGCAGTTTTTGAGGGAATGCAGTTCCTTGTGCAGCTGATCATCTCAAAACTAACAAATAAACAGTTTCTTAAGACATCTGCACTGATTTGTATTCCAAGAGCACTGTATCATCAAATTGTATCTTTATCATTCAGCTATGAAATTATCAACTGCAAAAAAAGATGGGAAAACAGCATCTTCCATCAAGTAGCAGCATGACTATTTCAGGGTCATAGAAGGTTTAATGGCAATCACTGCTGCTTCCTGACAGGATTTTCATGGATGGTTCTCTTCAGCAGCAGCAAGCTAAATCAAATAACAAAACTGATTAAACACCAGTTAAGCTGCACAGTTTTTCCAATTAAACAGTTTCAGAAAACATAGCCTGAATGTAGTAATGCTAATTTTTTTTTTTCTGCTAAGATTACCCATCCATTGTTCTACTCAGGTTTCTAATTCATTAAATTCTGGCTATGAAGGAAAGCTACTAACAGGAAAACAGAAGTGATTATCCCAAAGCAATGCAGTTCTGAGATCTTCTAAAAGCACCGCTAAACTTTCTGCTTTTGCTTTCTGGACACACATTATAAACTCTTCTTAGATCACCTAGCTTATGGCTTTCTCCATAAACATCTCAAACAAATAAGCCATCATTAAATTACTTCATTTCATACTACAGAAATAAATCTCTACAGTGATGCTAACTGCTGTAATTACAGAACAATTTCAAAATTTCCTTTGGAAATACAAGAACAAATTCATTGCTAGGAAAAATTCATATTGTAACCATCAGAATATTAGTGGTCTTGCGAGATTTACTGGTGCATGTATGAAAAAAGCACATTACCAAGAGATTTTGAATATTAATTTCTTGATGATTCATTTTATCTACTAGAAACCAAATCCCAGCATTTTTAGAATGTAAATTACTTAGTTCGTTCACAATCTGCAGTCTCAGCATGCTCCACTGACTATTTCATCCTTCTAAATGTGCATACTCATAACTAACTCATTTGTAAAAGCTTCTGGCTGTACAAGACCATACACATTATGAAGCTTCCAGTGTTTTGCTCCTTCAATACCATATATTCTCTTTGTCAGAGTACAAAAATTCTGCCCTTACCACTTTTCTTCCTCTAAACCTGATGCTAAGGTTGATGTACATATGGGGAAGATATTGTTACACTTGCTTCTGTCCTTGAAACCCACATACCCTGATATATTTTTCATCTATACATGTCAGAATAAATTTGTGACCAACAACTATTCACAAAGCTGAACTACAGCTTTTGCAAATTCAATTACTAGAAAAGCACTATGCATTTAGAGCAAAATGATTTTGACTGGGTTGCTGTTTTACATGTGGAGATAAAACAAAGAGATCTCTTTTTTACATTGTCAATTATAAGGATCTTCAGACAGATCTTCGACACATCTTTTTCACAGAAGTGGGAACTCAATCCTACTATTGTAAATACACTGATTCATTGACCTCTGTGGGTAAACATAAGTAAACAGTACTCCTAATCATCAAATTTTTAGGGAGACTGTGAAAATGCTGTCAGTAGAAGATCACCAGAATTCAACCGGAAAGCATTTTTATTTCCCTGAAAATCGAAGTCAATAAATGCAAAATATTCAATGGCACAGCAGTGAAAAACTTGATTTTTTTTTCAGAAGTCACCATTACAAATACACCAATTGAACCTACTATCAAAATGAGTAACAAATCAATTTCTACCAGTTCTTCATCATCCTGAAAATAACAGTATTGTCTCAGTGACAGAACACACAAACCCAGTAGATAATATCCATTAATATTAGACATATCAAGCAGCATTTGCAAATCATACTTCTTGATTTTTACCAAAAAAGATGTATATAGGACAATAGGGATGAAAAACTGAGCTATTACATGCTTTAAAAAGAACTGGTATGATCACAGAGCTACAGAGGAAAAAAATCCCCAAACCTCAAAGTGGAATTAATCAAAAAACAAAGAGTAAGCACTTGTCATCAAGAGGGTTTTGGTCATATAAAATAATTACATCTGTAAATGTTACATAATATAGCCTAAAAAAATATTTATTAAAATAATTCTAGTTAAAGCTCTTATATGATTACTGAATTACACTAAAGCCAAATAATTGCATTGTTTAAAAAAAAATGCACAAAGTCATATCATGGAAAGAAATAGCTTAGGAATCTAATGTCCTTGTCCTGTTTACTTCTGTTGTGCTTTTCCCAACACTGAATTAATAAGCACAACACATATGTCTCTTAAAAAACCCCAACCAATTTGGTGCATCCATAGTTAAGTGATACAGCTGGCAGCAAAAAGCAGGTCCCTAATTTAAATATCAGCATATGGATTTAGGAACCTAATTATAAGTTAAAAGTCTGGCTAACACTGTATGTTTATGGGAGATTTCTCCACAGGGATGGCTGCTTTCAGGTTTATTCCCAGCAAGTAAAAGAATTTTGCTTTTGTCACTGAACAAACATGACCTGGGCAACATGTTCAACATGTTTTTATTATCTCCTTGCCTATCATCTGCTGGTTTTTCATTCTGCTTTTCACTGCAAACATGATAAATTTCTGGTGAGTAGACTTGCCTTTTGTAGGATTTAATTGCTTGTTCCAGCCTCTCTTTATAGGCAACAAGATTCACTGCCTGAGGATTAATTAGTGTGATCCCCTTCTTGTCATTGCTAACATGGGCCAACGGTAATATCTATTATACAATAAAAGAAAAAGATTTTATTTATCATACAAATTTTCCTCGACCAGAATGACTGAATGCTGAGGGTCAGAACAGCCAGAAGGAACACTAGAATGCTGCAGAAAGAAAAATTTGAGCACACCAAGCAAATGTCAATATTAAGATGCAGTTTCCAGACAGTTCTTCTGAAATGCATAAGTTACAAACTAAGATTCCTAACTATTAGTTATTTCTAACTAAATCAGTACTGTCAAACAACTCACTCTAATAATGGAAGGCTAGGTCAGAAGGCAACAAACATGTCTAGAGCAATTCCATACTGTATTGCCTTAAAATAACACTCTCTTATACCTATTAGCATCTAATTCTAGCAGGTGTGAGAGTACATATCTAAGTGTATTTAATGTTCTTACTGTGGAGCACCTAATTTTATAAGGAATTTGTGTATTATAGCTATAGAGAGACATTTTTCACCATCACACTGATCACCAAAGAGAGAACAAGGTAGATATTGCTCACTGAAACTAGTCTTAATTAACCACAATAAGGCTTAAGAACCTAATCAGATTCATCAGAATCAGGAACTTCAATACTTTTCAAATCTCACAATATAGCACCTACACAAGTCAACTTCATTATAACATAGAAAGCTATACATTTGAAAGTAGATCTTCAAAAGCCACAGAATAGGGTAGAAAAGGATGACAGAGAGGAGGAAAAATGCCTTCCAAACTGTCAGTCCAAAATCCCCCCATCTTTCAGCCTCTTAAATTACTCAGCAGTTTGTGTAAGAAAAGCTATTTTATACATCAAAGTCCTGGTGTTGAATGTAAACAGACAAAAATCCAAAAATTGCAGAAGATGGAGAATGATACTCTTCCTCTTCAACGCATATGGTTGAGTGGGAATCTTCCCCAAGTGCCTGTCTGAAATCAGGATAAAGATGAGAAAAACATTTATGAGGTTCAATTAAGTTAAACTATTCCCCCCTGTTGGGGGAATAAGACAAATAATCAGCAACTAGAGCAATAAAAAGACTTATTTAATTGAGAACATTTTTCAGTGATGTTTTATTTGTGTTTGAATCATCACAGCCTAGGTGGATTCCAAATTACAGCAATATAAACCATTTTTCCAGGAGCAGTGGTGTGACTTTATATCCCCCTGTCTTTCTGAGGACATCTTCTCTCTGATTAATAAATCCGTGTCAAATCAGTGCCAGACCACATCAAGGCTTCTAATATTAATCTTAGGATCGCTTAAAAGCTAAAGATAAAGGGAACATGTCAGTGAAGTACCTTGCCAGAGACAGAGGAGGTCAATCTCTGCCCAGAATTCTGAGCAGTGAAACCTGGTTACTTGTCATTTCCAGATGAAGTTTGAAGGCTGAAAGGCAAGGAACTGATTACCCCTCTTCAAGTTCCCTACTGCCATGATTGTTGTCTACAATGTTACTTAAACCAAGTTAAAAGTTTGGCAGAGCCTCACCATGTAGGAGCCCACTTCCATACTGCCTTACAAATTCTCAGAGTAACTCCAAGTGCAAAAGGCACAATTTACAATGTGAATATTTAATATAGTTTATAAAACATTTTGAATAGAATATGAGGGGCAGACAAGCATAAATACATTGTTACACTATTGAAGACTAAAAACAGAATAGAATGTGTTCTTAGCAAACAGTAAACTTTAAATATTATGCACACTTTGAGAACAATGAAAACTTCTCACGAAGTCAAGGTAAATTTGACAGATTCAGCTGAAAGAAATCACAGGGAAACTTTTTTAGTGCCAAAATGTTTCATCATTTTCTAAATACTTTAACTTTCATACCAGAAGAATTCACTTCTTTCAAAATGGCTTTTACTTCAAACCCAAAATTTCAAAATTTTAGAGACAAAACCAAAGCACAATAACTCTATAAAATCTTTCTTACTTTAGACAAAAGAAAGATGTTTTTGTTGGTTGAATCTGAACCTGATTCTTTTGAGCAAAACATTGAGTCAAAACTCCATGACTTCCAAAGCTGTACTTATGATGCCACAACCTGCAAGATATACTCACACGATTCTATATGCAACGGTATTTCCTCCAGAATTACCATACCATAATTTAGAGAAGCTCCCAAGCCATGATTTTTTTTCTGAATATGAATCTGGATGGGTAGTTCAATAAATTAAACTCTTTGAAATAACTCGGGTGAAACCGACAGGTCGCACAGAACTGAAAACAACAGGTCAGCCTCTTGTTAATGAACAGTTGTCATGGAAACCTTTTGCTTGCTGCATCTCCGAGGTAAGAAAACTGCTCATAGTTACTCCATCATAACTGTTAGCAAAGGCTGAAAATAAAAATTATACTATCCCCGAAAAGCAAACAAGGATGTATGCATTCCACACCAAGAAAACTAAAATCTTAGAGGGAAGAATGGAAAAATATCTGTATATTTATTATCTTCAATGAAACCTTCTGAAGTACTGAAATGATAAAGAACCTTAAAGTCTCCTATTCAAGCTCTATGTCTAGTCTCAGAACCTATTTTCTGTTTCCCTCAATTTGCTGGCATGAAGCTTGAGGGAGAAGGTTCTGTAGCTCGCAAATTCTACTGGTTCCAATTTGTGTGCAACCCCCGACCTTATTTTTCCTTTCTATACTCAGCTTTAGATCCAGAAAAATCCATTTGTCTACATATAGAACAATAATTCTCCACTGCCTGAGAAACTGAGTGTCTGAATACAACTAATGGGAATTAGCAGAAAAAATTACAAAATTATTATTTTGTCTTTACATCCCAAAATCTAAAGAAAGCCCAAGAATTACTTTTTGGACTCTGTACAGTACTGGTTCATTCTAATGCTGAACTTAAACTCAGTCTTGAACTAGACTACCAGAAGCTTTTATGACTTGCCATTAAAAATGGCCTGTACAAATCACTTGCTGAATCATAGTTTTGACTACTTTCAAAGACCATTGTTTTACAGACTGGGTTGTTTTTGCTCACAGCAATTCACATGCAGCTCAGGGTTGTCTGTAAAGGATTCAAAGGACTCTTCATTGAGAAACATGGAAGAAAGAGCTCCTCTTAGTAGGTATTTTTAGGAAAAGATGGGAAAAGAAGTGACTGCTTAGAAATCAGATATAAGAGTTATGTGGAATTCACAATGTCTTTGTTGGACATTTCATTTACAGTAGATTGTTTTGTACAGTTTTGTAATCATTGGATGACTGAATTTTTTTAAAAATGGCTATTTTACATCTGAAATGTTAAAACATACATTTTAAAATGTTTTCATATAAAAAGACAACTTCTAATTGCATAAAAAAAATTTCACACTTCAAAAAAATCCTTACAGATCTTAGTTTTGACTTGGTTTTACTAAAACAGAGGAACTAGTTTTTATTCCACAGTCTGCACACTACAGCCAAAATTCCAGTTCCTATATTTAAAAAACAAGCATGGAAACTTTAAAATGTACAATTGTGTATATCTGTTATAAATCTTTTCCTTAGTTCTATACCTTATTCTATTACAAATCCCTTGTTCACTCGTTATTATTTAAAAATATCTCATTCAGCTTTTTCTTTGCATACTATTTAAGGAAGAAGTTTTTATTAATCAAAACAAACTGCAGCATATTCAAATGACTTTCATAGGATGCATCATACAAGAATTAGAGCAACTTGCCACAAAATGGATTTCCTTTAAGTGGAATGGCAATTAGAGCTTTATGATATACAATTCACCATAAATGATATAAGTTTTATGATATAATAATGGCCCATCTTCGTGAACGAAGATTTGGGGAAAGGTCTTTTACCTTTCCAGCCTGCGCAATGGATTTTTTAGGTGAGACACAGCCTGCGCTGAACTGAGCCCACCCTTTAATCCTAAGGTTCATCTGCCAGGGCCAAGCAAGCTTGGACAATGGCAGTGAGGTCCTCAGGACGTAGGTTTGTTTAGAGTGTCCTTCTCATAGATGGATGGCCACACAGGGCTAACGACCTCCATCAGGCCAGGAGACCGGGATTTGAACCCGTGGTCGCAGCAGTGAAAGTCCTGCACGCTAACCACTAGGCCACCAGGGGTCTCCAAGTTTTATGATATACAATTCACAACCTCACAGCTGTCTACACCTATTAGAACTAAATTTTAGTTACTGAATTCCAGTATTTTTCAAAAGGTCTTAGTGGTCACATGTAAACCTTGAGAATCCACAAGTCCACCAACTGTGCACCTGCACAAAATGACTTTATGAACTTGAAATACATACTCTGGTAAATTAATACATATTAGGAGAGGCTGTGGTGCTCCAGAAATTGCCAAACACCTGCTGGCTGCACACTGCCATCAACTGGTAACTGTGAAAGAGCTTAAGGGTAAAATATGCGAGAAGTAATGCTATTAATTATCAGTTTTATCTTCACACTGATGCACGAATGACCATATAGATATGCATTATACATTTAGTGCACATGAACTATCTACAATGAACACCAGAGAATGCTATTATGACATTTATAGAAATTAATTTTAAAAATCCTTTTGAAAACACTACTAAATTTTACTTACAGCATAAAAGTTTTACCTCATCAAATACTTTAGAAACTACATGCTTGTCCAGAATTGGGATGTATTTGGTACCATGAGGGACAGCTGTAGGAGCTAAGGCATCCATGATGGTGAGTCGCCTAGCAACCAAGCCATGGGTCTTTAACCAAAGAGCTGAAGAGATATCTAGAGAGCTGGAAAAGAGAGACTGTAAGATGTAGCACAAGGCAGAAACACATTTGAAAGGTCTGAAATGATGGAAGAAAAATAGAAACTATAATTTTTGTGATGTATTTATATATGCCCACACATACCTTTTAGATGCCTTTTTCACATTCTGCATTTTCAGATCTAAGGGAAAACAATTCCATTTCATTATCTTAGAGGTTTTGTGCACACAAAAGTATACATAAATAAGCTGACATATAATAGCGCCATTTTTTTATTTGAGCCTACTAGCAGCATCACAAAGACTATACAATAATGGCTATTTCATTTGCTAAATTAATCAATGGGAATTAGGTTTCCTTTGTTTCTTGGTGCTTGATCAATAGTAAGTGTTACTATATACCACATGAGCCCTAATTAATCCATAAGGTGGAAAAATTTTTTTTAAACATAAATTAGTTTTTTTTTTTTACCCAAAACCAAAGATTAACCAGCTTAATTCCCAAGACAAGATGTGATACCAAGTACTACCACTAATAAGATGGCCAGGAGTGGCTTCTTTAAGGTATACCACTATGAAAATCTGTATAAAAGATATATAAAAAACTAAACACAACATGATGAAATGTAAAAAAGTCAAACATTTTTAAGCATCATATGTGAGGTTTTAGAATGACTTAGCAAACCTATCGTAAAGTTCAGAGTTGCATGAATTACTGAAAGAAATTAAAACTATCTGGCTGTATATCTAAGCCCCCTTGAAAACACTATTATCTCTACATATGTGTCTGTCCCAGAGAGCATGAGTTTTGCAAGTCTAAGCATATTAATGAGTACAACCTCTTTTTACATTGGTACCACAGAATTAGAACCACCACTCTCATCTTTTAACCCCAACATTGATCATAACCACAAACTACTGTTCCACAAGAATGGTGTATTACTGTACCACAGGTACAACAAGATTGTCAAGATCTATTTCTTATGTTGATAAGAAGAAACTGTGATATCCTTTCAGCAGTATAAGGCATAGCTGTATCACAACTGCTGCATACTGTGAACACAACTAAGCTGTTGTAAACTGCATAGTTTGGGCACTGGCAGGAGCGTGGCCACAGCTGTAAAGACACTTACAATACCATTCTGCATGTCCAACTCTCCGCATCTCTGTTGCGTTTCAGTCCTTTGTACTGCAGATCTGCACAGTTTTGCCTCAAATGAGGTGCCACTACTTACAAATGCAGCACAAGAAATGTTATCCTCTGCCCCACTCAGAGCTTCCTGTTCTGCCAACTTGCCTTTCAAAATAGCTGTACATTTCACACTCTTTTTGACAGAAAAACCTTTTTCCTCTGGAGATGTTCTTTCCTCTGGGCTTTCTTCTCTAGATTTCACACCATGGCTCAGGATTCGCAGCAGGCTGCTCTTTGTTTGCTCTGTAGGTGTTGAAAGGGAAAGAAAGGAAGAGCTGAAAGAGCTAACTAACTTACAAATACATGCCTGGGATTTTTGAGTTCCTCTTTGGTATTCTGTCCCAATTTTAAAGGGACTGCCTACTAACAACCTCAAACATAAAACTGTTTGTACTTTATACAACACAAAGTTGTACTTTGTACTTTCCTCAAGGATGAAGGTTTCTTTTACTTCAGCTGGGTAAACTTGGTTTCACACTGCAAGGATACAGTGGATATACAAAGGATACTTCCAAGAGAAATATCGTGTTACGGGTGTAGTAAGGGAAATATTAGTGTAAGTAATGCTGTAACTAGTGAAACATAGATCAGCTCTTCATTCTTGCCAGATATGTACTTACTTAGAATAAAAAGAGAGAAGGGTTTAATATCTACTGTTAAAAAAACATTTACAGAGCTTTCAAAACATTTTGTTAAAGTGGTTAATTTTTTATTGCAGGGCCTGTGATGAAGGGCAAATGAGCAGACATTTGTTTGTCTGTTTTGGCCAGATGAATAAGATGGCTGAAAAGTAAAAATGAAGATAAGTTAGTTAGATTTTCAAAAGGATGATTATTTATATCATCAAATACTTCATTTGTTCCTACAAAAGGGATGCTTTTTGCTATTCGCAACAGGATCTTTTCAAGTTAGTGAATAAATTCTGTTAACAACTACAGTTCATTTGAGTCTTACCTGCATATAATAATTTCTTTCTTCGGGCTGGACTGTCAGCAGTTTTTTGCCAGGTTTGCTGGTGTGGTGTCCGTGCTGGCTCTTCTGAAGCACAGAACCGCCTACTGCTAAGAGAAGTACTCAGCTCTTCAGCATGTTTGGATACATCTTGTAAGTGCTTGTAAGTGGTTAGTGGTTAGTGGTTAGTGCTTCTAAGTGTCAAAAAGAAATTATTTCAAGTATGTAACACTGGTTTAAGAAATGCTAAGCTGAAGTTTTCTGGTAATTTAAATACTGTTTTCAGACGCTTCGAACAGTGCAAAATATTTTCTCTGTTATGCTAATCTGCATTTCAAAGGGGAGTTCAAAGGAGGTTAAAATATTCTTAGTTTTTAAAATTATTTAAAAGTCCTTTCTTAGTTTATTTAAAAGATGTTCATTACTTTTAAGGTAACACCCTCATATCCTTTTAATAAGGATAGAATGTTCTATAATAGCTACTTTGAATCCCAGGGGTAAGAGTAAACCTACCATCAGCAATGAAAATATCTGACACACACATATATATGCATATATATATATCTCTCTAAGTGCCAGCATTAATAAAAAATATGAAATTTCTAAAACAAACACTTAAAAATATTTTTATGCTGGACATCCTACCTGCCCTTCCATACATATGAAATCATTCCACAGCACTCTCCAATTTTCATTTATTTTACTTTACTTTTTATACCTTTACTTTAACTTATTGTTTTTAATAGATTTCTGTCTTAAAAATCTGATTTCTTTTAATGCAATTTTTTACTTTTATACTATTGCTTCACAGGTAAATACACAAATATATCTGTACATAATTTATGTTTCGATCAGCATATCCCAATGAGTGGCAATTTAGTCATGAAGTCCAAGCCAGCCGTACCTATACGACAATAATTTTTCATTAATCCTTGAGATCAGAGGGAGCAACTCTACCATGTGTTGGAGACAGAAAAATAATTTCCCCTCTATGCTTTAATTATTCCTAATGTCTTGAGACTACTGATATATTTGAGATAATTTTGCTTCAGGCATCATGGTATTGGGGCATTTTTCCAGATTTTTCTTTTGCATTACCTTAGCTGTTAAAAAAAACAAACCTCAAAACAACAAAGCAACAACCTTTCTTTTAAAAAGAGAATGTCAGAGGTTAAAAATGCAAGACAATCAAAAGGAGAAATGTAACAGATAGCTCTTATGTCTTATTAACAAAATAACAGTATGAAGACATACTTATTCTCTGGATAATTTTCTTCATTAAAAGAATCCATCATCAGGCTTTTGACATGAAAGGTCTTTACTTTCTCTAGGTCTTTTTCTCCTTGATCAATTTCTCGTTTCAAAAGATGTATGTCTTTATTCTAACAAAAAGAAAATCATATGGTTTAGTACAACTAGGCCTAAACAAGATTCATTTCTGAACTGCAACTATGCAAGTTCTGATAATAATTTTGAATAATGGCTCAGGACAGCTTCCAAATCTTGTAGACTCTTTCAGGTAGACTCTTGTGCTTGGCATTACAGCCTTTCAAATTATTCTTCCTTTCTAGGAAAAAGACAAGCATTCCCTAACTAGCTAGTTACCCCTTGATCTATGAACAGCCATATTTCTGAATAATGTACTGAGGTCAGTAGCTCCACTCACTTCCAGCAAGCAAGAAAATAAATAAGCAAATAAATAAAATACAATACAAGTTATGTACAACTGGTGGCCTGTCATTCTACAGATCACAGCTGTATCACATACTGTCCCTGGAAATGACAAAACACACTCTTCAAGGGAACATTTGAACTGACTAAGAATCATTTGGACTAAAGGAGGAGGAAACAGGAAGGAAATTCCAATGATGATCCCCTTACAACTCCCACAGGGCGAGAAGTGTGGAGATGTACAATACAGACTTTGGCACTCATCTGTCCAATACAAGCAGTGTCACATAGTCCACACCATCAGGATCACTCTCTGATACTTTTCAAGAGCTGGATTATTTTCACCTCTTCCTTCTAATTGGTGTTTGCAAAGTTCAAGTTTCCTGCTACTGTCTTATTCCTGGTTGTTCTCATTGTTCCACCACAACCATTTCTAAAATTTGTGGAATCAGTTAAGTGTTAATTTTAATTAAAAATAAGAATATGTTTCAAATGGATGATTCTGTTAGTCTATTCAGAAATTTTCTACTGGGGATTGTTAGATTGAGCTGCTTAGTCACACTTGATAGATGACTGCTATTCTAGTCATTATGGATCTCTCCCCAGTGGCTACTGTAGAGCAAACTTTTAACAAAATTCATGGAATCATTCATCATCATTCAAATTCAGCTCTGCATTCTCTCATTTTTTAACAGGATACAAAACATAGTTTCATTTTAAACAGTAACTTATTTTTGAGACAGCAGAGATCACATCTGTTTCTTCCAGAGCTGAATTTGGTCTGCATGTATTTTTAGGTTTTGGGTTTCAGGCGGGGGGCTACGGGAGGGGGAATGTGTTTCCAACAGTAGGATTACAAATGTACTTTGCATGACATTTGGGCTTTTTTGTTGCAGTCTAATAAAATTTAACAAGCAAAAAATGTCATACTTACTGCTTTTACATCACTTTGAAGCTGACTAGGATTAACCCTCTTTTTTTTAATAATCTATTGTAATATGATATCACAATAATGCAAGTCGTGGTTCCTTCAACAGCATGAAGAAGCAAATATATTTATTTTCAGATACTCACAAGAATAAACTCTGGAGTATCAGGATCAGTCAAATAAATGTTGTAATAATGAAACCGTCCCTCTGTTTTAGTAGATAGTTCATACAAAAATTTATTAGCTTCTATATCATCACAGTTGAATGATACAGTATGGATGGGAATTTTACAATGAAGATGGACTTCAGCAAAAATTATTTGGGAGGGCTGAAAATTGAAAAAAAAGTATATTAAAAATGCAGCACCTAGAAATATATTTATCAAAACATGGTGAATTTGTAAGAATTTAATCAGTCAAACTGTTGCTTAGAGACAGATATAGACCAGTTAAAGGCATCCACCTTATATGGATTGTTATTTCATAATTACATAAAATGAGCTAATTTAAAACAGATTTTGAAACACTGATAATGCATTAAAGTACAGGATGTAAACTGCAATATAATAAGTACTCTTTGTTTCTGAAGTCTTAAAAGAAATTACTAAGGTATAGGAAATTAAAGTACTGCTTTGATGTTTATTATCACTGGATATATATAAAAATATTTTTGGAAGTATATGAGTGTAGATATTTTTAATAAACAAAATTAGTTCACAGAAAAGTTGATTCTATACCAGGAAACAAAACAGAGGCTGAGGAAATAGGAAAGCTAGTTTCCTCCTCACATAAAGAAATAAAAATTAGGTGAAAAAGTAGATCTATCATGTCTGAAAATGCTGAAGGATCTGGTAGAAAAAAATTATTCACTCAGTTCTGTAAACTCTGATAACCCTTCAGCTGTTCAAAGTACTCAAAAAGCTTGACAAATTAAGCAATATTTGCAGTATTATTGTTTGTTGCACTTTAACAGTTAAAAGCAATCTTGGCCATTTACCTTTTTTAATCTAAAAAAGTAAAACATAAACCATAAAAGGCATTAGTAACCAGGTAAAAAGAAATCAAGTATTCATTAATTTTTAACTTAATAAAAATATTTTTAAAAAGAATATTAATAACTGTATATTAAGTCAAATTATTCTTTGGTAAAACATTAATATATGCTTCTAGATAGAAAAACTGTGAAACAATGCAAATAAACATCCAAGAGACTGCACAAGACTCAGCACTGCAGGCATGATATTCATCTCCTACTTCTGACTTCTGACACCACTTTTCTGCATTTTCTGTTTTCTCATTTTGAAATACCTGGTCAGGTCTCCCATCCGTCAAGAGATAAATAGCCTGAGTGTCAGTATCAGCAAGAGCAATCTGGAGAGCTTTGAGTGTATTTGTGGAACTTCCAACCTAGGAAACCAAGAAGAAGGAGACAAAGAAATAGTTGTAAGTACTAACAGTTCTTTGCCTCTGTTCTTAAATTCATAATGACAGTGTAGTGATTCAGGGGATAATACAGAAACAAAATGACTAATAAAATGGTGAAAACATTTATGTCATGTAGCTAGAAAAATCAAAGCAAGTGTCAAAGTAGCATAAATTGCTACCAGATTGGTGTTCAGTGCTTATGCAAACACACATAAGCAAAATGCTGGCAGCAGAAATCTGAGCTGTACAAGCAAAAGCAATCACTAAAAGACTATAAAGATAGGAAGACGTAAGATAGAAGATACATTCTCTTAATCTTTCCCACTGCTGCTCCTGCATGCCAAGTCACCACTCTCCCTTGAAACACATATTGTACTTCACCAAATAGTTCAAAAGCTCCATAAAGGAGTTGCATAAGTTTATTTCTCAAAAACTGGTAAAGGACTTCCTGACTTTCCAAATATTTTTTCCAGACTCTCTCCCATCTACTCCTTGGCAAATTAATGTTAACATAATTTATATTTTAGCACAAAAGTTATCTATAGCAACAAAACATGCCCAGCAAAGTAATAGTGTGCCCATTAAAAAAAATGTTGGAGTAATACTACCATTTTTCCTATGTATGTCATTCACATACTTTGTGATCATGTTTTTTTTTTTCTTTTTAGACTAAATGCAACTCTAAACTCACTGAAATTCATTTTATGGCTTATAGGAACCTAAAACCTACCGTTTACATCTTCAAACATCCACCTTTCAAACATGCAGTGTACCAAACCTTCCACATTAAAGGTACATGTAAAGTTTACCAGTATGGAAAAGTATTTCATCAATCTTAGTCTTTTTTTGGGGGCAAAGCAAAATCCCTGAAAATATTTGGACCTGTTTTATGGTTGTATAACACCCGAATACTCCTCTGAAGGGCAGTGAGGATTGTAGTGGTGCAAGAAGAGACTTGGGATCCACATATATAACACATTGCGGAAGATATACATAAATCTCTAACATTGACTCATGCATACAAAAATGTTAAGAGATAATATTATTTTTTCAATCCTAATAATTGCATTAAGACTTCTTCCAGTCCTTCCCACCACCACCAAGTTCTATTAGAAAGGGCAAAGTAAGTAAATCAGGTAAAATGAAATAGGAGGTACATTCTGACAGTGATTCTGTATAGCTGCATAAGAGTGTGTGGGCCAGGCAGCAAGACAGCTCATATACTTTATAATCCTATCTTATAATTCACAAGCAATCCTTATCAGTACCTACTCATAAGAAATAACTAGCTAGAGACATTTTCTTTGTGTTAAATTTATCTAATATTCCTAATGTTTTAGTAAGCATTATAAAGTTTTAGACACATCACTCATTATTATGTGTAAATTGGCCATCCTGGTTCTTTTGATAATGGTACCTGGTTTTGAGCTAATTTGAAACAAAACAACTTCTTTCACTTCTTTTCACATCATGGGAACATAGGGTGGATGCTGATGATGTGAGGAAAATAATTATCTTCCTTATAGTGAAAGCTGTTCATTTTAGGTTTCTCAATTGCTACTGTTACAAGTGAACACTGGTTTTATCAGTGTTTAAGCAACATTGACATACTTCAACTATGTGACATTAATTTTTTTTAATGGCCAGTCTTTGCGAACGAAGATTTGGGGAAAGGTCTTTTACCTTTCCAGCCTGCGTAATGGATTTTTTAGGTGAGACACAGCCTGCGCTGAACTGAGCCCACCCTTTAATCCTAAGGTTCATCTGCTGGGGCCAAGCGAGCTTGGACAATGGCAGTGAGGTCCTCAGGACGTAGGTTTGTTTAGAGTGACCTTCTCATAGATGGATGGCCTCACAGGGCTAACGGGCTCCATCTGCCCGGGGGGACTGGGAATCGAACCTGGGTCGCAGCGGTGAGAGTCCCGCATGCTAACCACTAGGCCACCAGGGGTCCCCAATGTGACATTACCACCTCTAAAATTTTCAATGTTATCACATCTAAAGGATTTTTAAGGAACAGTTAGTTACTGTTTATAGCTGAGCTTCCTTATTCATAATCCTGGGACCAAAGTGTATAAAATGAGATCAAAGGAGCTACTCTGAATAATATTCCAGACCAATCCTCTGCTGATTTCAGCTTCACTGTAAAGCCAGCTTTCTGATCTCAGACTTACACATGCACTGATTAAAAGAGGCTAAAAGGTCACCAGCAGATGTCAACCTTGAAAAAAGTAGTCTGCTCTTGCACCATTTCCTGTACCACTTCAGATATCTAGATCTGAATTTGAAATGAAATTTATAATAAACAATTAACAATTTTATGAATAATGATGAATAAGGCCATTCCCAAATGCATATATAAGATGGTATCAAATTATGGTAGCTCAAAGTATTATTGAACTTGCATGAAGCTGTACAACATATATGATTTAAACAGGGCCAAGTTTTCCAGTCTCAAGTAAAATTAACTAACCTCAGTTTTAAGTATTTGCCAACTACTCAGTGAGGCCACACTAAAACTTTCTTTTCTCTATGTGTTGGTCTGTTAGTATTTTCTGAGAATACTGTTATTTATCTTGCTTTATAGTCTCAGAGGTATTATGTAGCTGCCCCGATTCCCTCATCCCCAGGAATTTGGTATTAAGTCTGAGGAAGAGCTGTCATAATGCTGAGGAGTTTTATTACATAAACAGGAGGGGGTTTGTGTCAGAAAATGTACCATGGGATACATCTGTAGCACTGGGCAACTGATTCTCAGTCCTGTGCTCATAACGTTGTCCACATTTGACACACTAGGTGGTCCTAAAGCTGATGACAGTTACAATCTGGGGGATCACTGTGGCTGACTACAAGCATTTCTACTCTGTTTCAGGGAAAAGTGCTCAGATTTTGGCCACTGTCAGAGAAAGAATGTTGGGTAGACAGACAGATGTTTGGTCTGAGTATGGTTGCTCTCATGTTTCTATCACAGCTAAAGTCCTCTGTCTATCTATTCATCAACAGGGACTAGAAATGCTTCTCCAGGTTGCTGACATGTTTCCTGTACCACCTGAGAGCTGTAAGTCTGCCAGCAACAGCTCTCATAACCACGCAGCAGCCCTGCAGCAAGAATGACAAATTTAGACACGAGATCTGAGCACTGACATGTTTCCTGCAGAAATCAAATGGGCCAATGTCTGCCTTATGGCCACTAAACATAACAGGCTGCAAGTTGAATTATTAATATGATCTGATAAACAGGTCCACTGTTAAAGGGTTATTACACCTGACAGATGATATGTTGTACTCAGATCCACTAAGGTCTATACATCATAAATATTTTCAGCTTACTCAAGTCAAATACTTAGTCCAAAATCACCCCAGCCGTACAGAAAATGAGGAAACAAATACAACTTTGTACAAGCACGCTTTATGATAATTAGTTGCCATATTACCTCAAGCTGTTTTATCCAAAGCCAAGCATCTTGCAAATTTTCCTCATTAACTTCAGCAAGTTTCTCTTGCCATGCCACTGCTTGGGCACTAAATTTCACAAAGTTAAATTTCTTCTTGTGTCTCAATTGTTCCTGCAAAAGATAGCATCTGAATTTTACATACTGTTAAAAGAAAGAATACTTGTATCCTGAAATACTGAGTACTAGCAGTTGTTTTAATTATTATATAGTTGATTACATGGTTACAATAATATTCAGTTATGGTGTACAGAGAGATATACAAAGACAGAGACAATTATTGCTTACAACTATTAAGGTTACTTGAACTTCCTAAAGTCTCCATGTACTCGTATTTCTCAAACTACTTGAACAGCAAATGTCTAGGAGGGCATGAAACAGAGAGATGAAACTGGGTAGGATCGATAGTGTAAGAAAGAGATCATCACTGCTTACCAAAGGAAATTGAAATCAGAAAGAAAGACATAATTTAGAGAAAGAGAACAAGAATCAAATAAAGAGCACTGGCAAGGGGAAAGCAGGAAAAAAATAAGTTAAGAATTTGCTGAAGTTGCTTTTGGAGAGAAGTAGTAAGTCAGGGAAGATTTGTGCAAGCTAGTACAAACTTTCAGAGACTGGAACCTTTGCCTCCCTTTCATCACCATTTTTGTGCAGCTGCCTGTGAAACCTTCTGGCACAGTATCTAATAAATTTCTAGAGTTGATCTACCTAGAGGACCACAAGACACTGTCCTATGACTGCACCTAGCTCAAAAACCTCTCTGTCATAGTTTTAATATTTTTAGTCCTACTAATGATTCTATCAATGCCAGACTAATTGAATTTTTATTTGTCGGTTACTTCTCTTAGGGCTAAAGAAATTTAAGATTAATCATGTTTTAAGAGTACCCATTTCAAATATTATTGTACGCTAAGTTGACATCATTGTAGACTTCTAAAACTAGGTGAGACAAATTCTGTCTTAGGTGTGTCTTCCAGTACTCACAGCTTTTGAGGTGCTTCTGCACTTTGCAAGTCCCATTGCAAAGTTCTGAGTCACTGTAAGATTCAATCAAGTTCAAAACGTTCTACACCCTCTATTGTAGAAGTATGAAAGTGAATTTAGAACACACATTACAAATCACAACATGCCAATGGAATTGGATGATAAATGAAAATGCCAAAAGGTATAGCTTTTGTATAGCTTTTTCTCTGTGTGTTTTTTTCTAGTTTTGGTGGTTTTTTTTTCTAGGAGGAAGGTGGCTTGTGAGAAAGATCAACATAAGCTTTTTTATTTTTTAACATTTTCTCTAGCTTTTTTCAAATATTTGTATAAATGAGGCAAAAATACAAATTTTTAACTGAAAAATGAGCCAATGAAGAAAAATATAAATACTTTTGTAAAGCTGCTATTTAAAGAAATAAAAATAAATAAAAAGTGAAATAGCAGCCATCCAGAAGAGATGAGCCTACTCTAAAGTGCTCCTAGCCTTCAGAATCATCACTTTGTCCTACCTGTATGAGTTGAAATATTTTTTCCTTCACCAGTGGCAGCTTGTTGTTCATAGACTGGGATGTATCAATGAGAATATAGACATTATCTTCAAATACATTACCAAAGAGCCCTCTGCTTCCTTGTTGAAGCCACTTAATCCTAGGGGAGGAACAAAAGTATCAAAACCTGTTCCATAAGGTCTTTGGAGCTCTGCATATCAGAATCTAACAGGTAGGATCTTTTTATCACTGCTGTATTCTTATTCTCTTTCCCTAAGCACCTGTTAGTGGTCACTGTGAGAAGTGGTATATTGCCCTTGATGAATCCATCCTATGTCATTACATAACAACACAAGACATTTTTATTTTATAATTTCAGTAGGAATCCAGAGACAGACAAAAAAAGACAAAACAATACAGCACCTCAATAAAGTCAATTATCAGGTAGTTTGAGCTGGGAAATCCCATGTGGAAGCAACTATAATTATTGTCACTGTAACTGTTCACCAGTCTGAACTCAGTAAATCATTTAATCATATGCTACTATGCCTCCCTTTTCAGGAAACCACTTGAGAACCTATTCTGCAAGGAACTTAAGCACTTTGAAGAGCCTTAATATAAAGCAGATGCTTCAATGGTTTGCTGACCTTGAGCCTTAAATACAGACTAAGTTTTACATTTTAAAGAGGATTGGAGTGTGCCTGCCAGTTAAATACGTGCATACATACTGCTGTGCACAAAAACCCTTCCTCAGTAATGGCTGCAGCAAGTCCATATCTGATTTCCCTTGAGAGTCATAAAGTACCCATCTACAGAGATGTTTAACAGATGGAATATAATGGTCCTGGGAAAAATATTACTCATCTCCACAGAGGTTTTAAAAAAATGATATCATGGAAAATTAGGGATCCTACTACATTTGCTACCGATAGCTATTTTGTCATTAATTATTTCCCCAAAAGTATTTGATGAGGTCTGCCAGGACTTTCTAACATTGAGATGAACCACTCAAAATAGCAAGCCCATAATCTCAGCTTGGATTTCAAAAATATACACTCATCAAAACTGCTTATCTCAAATTTTCCTTTGACACTACATAAATGTTATCCTACATCATACAGTAAGATGAAGAAAAACTAAAAGGAATACCAAAACTCTGTTTGACCCTGCTAAATGTAATCAGGCTGCTATACTTTTGGTAGGGAAGCAGCAATAAACTGAAAAATTCATCAATAAAATGGAAGTTCACATGCTTTCTTCAGTGAGAGCTCTCATTGCCCTAATATACAAAACAGAGGGCAACATTTATTCTTTCTCTCAGTTCAGGTTACCTTTGTCTCCTAGTGTAGCTTTAAAAGCCAATTTACTCTAGGGCATCTCTTTAGGACAGATTAATCAGACTCTCAGACTGCCTATTTTTTGGTAGATGTCCTACAAAATCTAAGAGTGTCTATATGGCTACAGAAATGTAAACTAGGCAGGTAGTTTGAGCACTGAACTTCTGATCATGTGCATTACTTAATAGCTCATGCCCTGACTCTGATCTAGACTGTTCAAACTTGTCTTCAACAAAAAATTGCAAAAGATAACCATTATCAGCATGCTGTACTGTAGCTGTGCTACTTGGTGTTGGAGGTATCTCAAGGGATACTAGATATACAGGATGAATATTTATTAAGTTTTATTGATGATTCCTTAAGTTCTCTGCCACCCTATAGTCCCAATACTTTTTGGCACTTTCAGCAGTAATTTCAAAAATGTGCAGACTGACTTTCACATTTGTGTTTCAGAAGGAAAACAAAAGATAAAACTGTTCATCAATTTTCTTATATGGCTACTAAGAAATCCTACATATAAGATTCTGATCTAAAATAGATTTCTGGCTCAGTACCACTACTGTCAGTTTACCAACCACTTCAGCTTATTATGACAGTAAATGTCAAACATTTCAACGCCCATGTAAAATAATACAAACTGAGTTTATGTGAACACTAACCTTCCTTCCACTTGTCTGAGAGCTGTCCTCATTTTCTCTTCGTACTGCTTATACTTTTCTGTACTAACATATATGTGAACTACAGATCCATCTTTCCAGGGGGTATGTACAAACCTGTCACAGTATCTTGCATGAATTACTTTCCTCTTTGTCTCCTACAACCAAGAAAAACCTGTTTCATGTTCCGAAACACATTATTTTGCAGTGCCTTTAATATTTGATGAACAAACTTCAAATGTACATGCTTGTTGCACATGAACAGGTGCAGAAATAAACATGAGATAGGATGGTCACAGAATTCGCTCCTAGCAAGTCAATAGAAACTGGTTTTATTCTTGTAGCTAGCAAAAGCAGAAGCTTTACCATCACATGAAACAGTGTAATGGTAAAGCTTGAGAAAAACAAATAGAAGACATATTAATCCAAATTTGTTTAAGTACCTGCAAACACCGCAGCAGGTGAGACTAACATGTATTCTGAAGACAAGCAATCTTTGCCCTACCACACAGAAATACATAGAAAATTATGGGATTGCTTAATCCAGTCCTGATCTTTCCTTTCAGATTACATGGGAACCAGTAAGGAGTCTTTAAAACAGTCATTTTCAAATAGCCCTTTGAAACATTCTTTTCATTACATTCTTTGACCCAATAATTAATAAGATGATTTTAACAAAAACTACAAAACAATGAGGCCATATACTATATCATAAATTCCTCCACCAGCCAAGTTTTCAAGCTTCAAAAGAAAAAACAAACAACTTACAGGATGAGAGGGAAAATTAACAACACTCACAGCATCAGTTTGTGAAGATTCATCCTCTGGTTTAGTTTTTATGTCAACAATCCCATCTACATGGCGGAAAATACAATCAGCAAGTGCATCGTACAGTGTGAGCTTCTGAGCTTTCAAGCCATACTTCTGCAACCACTTCTCAGAAGTCAAATATTTGTCATATACATGATTTTGTAATGGATGATCAGTTTTGGTTGCTAATAAAGAAAATACAACAAACAAAATTTCCTGTATAACATGGTTCAGTGTGGTTATACTATTTTCGAAACCAGATTATGATACTAGAGTCAAAATTTTCAAACTTGTTCTGCTTGCTCTGACAGCATTGGAGTGAGCAGATATTTCTGAGTGATTTTTAACAGTCTCTACTTTGGTTGTGTCTTTTTTCTTATCAGACAACTCATTGTAACAAATTCCTTTATAACTGGAAAAAAAATCCAACATCAGAAGACATTAAATAGTGACAAGATCAACATATAAAAGGAATATTCTTAATAGTTTAATTACAAAATGCCAGAAAGTATTCCTGTATTACATGTCTAAATTCAAGAAGAATCATTTGAGAAAATGAAACTACAGAAGATATAACTGAAAATACACTTGAGACCATTGGTTAACATTATGTAGTGGGTTTCTGTGGGTAGGTTTTGGTAGTGGAGGGGTTACAGGGGTGCCCTCTGTTAGAAGCTGCCAGAAGCTTCTCCTGTCTGGTGGAGTCAATGCCAGCCAGCTCCAGGACGGACTTCCTGCCACTGGCCAAGGCCGAGCCAATCAAGTGTGACAGTAACGCCTCCATGATAACATATTTATGAACAGAAAGGCATTCTGCCAAAAGAATTCCAGCCAGGGAAGAGCAGAGTGAGAACATGGGAACAACAAGGCAGACACCAAGGTCAGTGCAGAAGGAGGGGCAGGAGGTGCCCCAGGCACCAGAGCTGAGGCCCCTGCAGCCCATGGTGCACACTATGATGGAGCAGCTGTGCATCTGCACCCCATGGAGGACCATCTCTAGTTCTACACCCTCCTTCAAGCATTTTCAACAGATACTGAAGAAAACTGGCCTTTTTTTTTGTCTGATCTGGTATAACTGTTCTTATGTTTACCCTTTCACATCATATTGTCTTACAAATTTTCCAAGGGCCATCTTAAGGTAGGGCATTGCACATCTCTGGATACTAGTAACAAGATACAGCGCTCTACACTCACTCATCACTATCTCGATAAAACACAACTAAACCAAATGACCCGGCAGTGGGTCTCATAGCAGAGTGAATTTGTTTTGTCACACTTTAATTTTGGTGGACCTGGGTGGTATAAATGTCTATTCCATTTAGATTCAGCTACAGTGACAACAGCATTAGATCCTGAGCCTGTAAATAAACCTATGGAAGCATCTACTGCCCTTACGCACACAGAGATCAGCCAACATCAAGGCACATGCATGGTTGGAGCCTACTCATGTGAAAATATTTGCTTCATGACTGCCTGTGGTCCTAAAAACAAGTGTCACAAATGCACTCACAGAATTTTAAAAAGAAAACTGTTGTTTTCTTTTTTCCACATGCTTTGTGTAAAAAGTCCTGTCTCAGTTCAGGTAACTAGTGCATTATCTGGAGTGCCAGCAGAAAAGTTTACTCTTTTTCTGTTTCTTCTCCTGCAGAACATCACAGTGTTCAGAACAAACTACATTTTGCAGCAAAGTATTTTAAACAGGAAGGCAAAATGTGGAAGAAATGTAGGCAAACTGAAAGACTGCAGTTATTTGGATGAACGGGTAATAGTCAAATAATGCTGAAGAACTGACCAAGTAAATCATATTGTTAATTTAATTTCTTTTAAATTATTTATGAAGTGATTATATATGAAGGCAAACACTAAAAGAACATTAAAGCTGCACAGTCAGGAACACACAAATAAACACTGAAATTAGGGCTGCCCTTGCAGCTTTATTGTGATCTCTTTGTTCATATGTATTACAGAAGAGCTGTTTAACTTCATATGGGAAGGCTTACTAATTCAGAAGATGCTATTATCAGTATAAAGAACTGTATTATGCCTTCACAGAAGAAAAAACTCTAGTTTTAATCATGCATAGCTATGTTATGGACAGACATTCAAACCCAGCAGCAGAGAAAAGTTTCCAGCTTCAAATTATCATCACCATCCCGGTCACGTATCTTAACACAGTTCAAGTTCCTGACCAACTGACGGTACAAAACATTCCTCAGCAGGTGATCCAGAAAGGGGCATCTGGCCTCAGCCTCCATCTAGCCAAAGTAAAAGCAATTGCACTGTAAAAACAATACTATAGCTACAAAAAATCACCCACGACTTACGCTAATTCAACCTGAATCTTGTATCAACTTACACAAAAAAGTACCAGTAGACACTGTGTAAGTATTTCAAAACCAGGGACTAATGAAGATTATAGGCACTGACAATCATGGCTATTATCCTGAAAATCCATCCCCTTGATTGCAGTCCAATGCTGAAGCTGCCTAGACTCTACAGATTCCTAGGTTTTCAGTATTTAAGTCTTCTCAGTGTGATCATTCTGCTTCAGAGCATGCCCAGAGAATCTCCATCTTAGAAGGGCTGAGTAGCACCTCACCATCCCCTATTCAAGCCTTCCAGAACTTCAGAAACCAGCTATGCTTCTGTCTCCAAAAGTGTTCAATCCACAATCAATATGCACAGAACAACAAATGGATCAAGTTCTAGGCTAAACACAGTGGTAGGAACTACTAGTTTAATGAAAAAATGTAGGTATTCCTCCAAGTTTCTTAAGACAAGATTTGTCAGAGCACTCATCCAGAATTGTTTTCAGTCTTCTGCCTTTGATTACAATTCAAACGCACACTTTTTTCTTTTTAGAGGAATGAACTGGGCCATCCCAAGATGACCATGATGGGAGAGGGATGAGGTACTTCCCCAGCATTGTGTGGAATTAAATTAAAGAATTACTGGCCCAGGCAGAAAGGGAGAGACCACAAAAACCAAAAAGAATTTTCGTATCTTAAAATGCAGAAAACTTGTAAACCTAGTCACTAGTGAACTAAAAATGTTGTGTTTCACCTCAACCTGTTAAAGTTCAGCAAGTTTAAGCCATAATAAACAGAGATTTGTATTGGGAAGTTTCAGGTAACCCTAAATTAAGATAACAAGTATAGGTGTTACCTGTATACAGACATTTCTGAGAAAACCATCCCCAAATTGATGAGTAATGAAAACTGTTCACAAATAAAATACTGATCACGAATATAGTGGTAAGTCTCTGAAAGAAACATAAATTATACCATCTTGAGAAGCAGGCTGGTCAGATTCTGATAAAATTTGCTGAACTTGTCTCACTGTATTCCTGGCTTCCTCCAACTCCTTCCAGATCAAAAAGACATCTTCACGGACACCAGCTACTGCAAAAGAAATCCTAAATAGAACTTGACGTTTTGATAAAATTTCCACAATTTATAACTCCTCAATTATTACAAAGTCATCGGTATATCCAAATGTTGCCATATAACTTTGTTTTCTTGAGGTCCCATTGCAGTGACAAGTGCTGTTTTCTGATAGACTTCAAAACCCCAATTTTGAAAGTTTAAAGAGAAGACATTGTCAACTCTTTCAGTTTCCTTAAAGTACATTAACAATTTTTTTTTAAATTAAATCTTCATTCCTGAAGACTGTGTGATGAAATTTTGCTAGATGAGTTTATTTTCATCCCAACAATTCTCAACAGTCATAAATAAATGCTAAAAGAAAAAAACTGCTTTACTATCAGGCTATATTGTCAAAAAAAACCAAAAAAAAGGAAAGATGCAAAGCTAGAGCTAAGGTTTTCCTAATCTCAACAGACATGTTTTTCTTTATTAAAATAATTAAAATATGTATTTATTCCATAGAATACAATTACTAAAATTGAGTCACATTGTATATCTAAGCAGAATGTTCACTACTAAAAATGTGTTAAATTTGGTTAGTCTCAGAGATTAAATTGCAATAGGACAATACAGAGAAACTGTGTGTACTGTTACAGCAAAAATATGAAAGAAACTGAATCATCAGCTAACCTAACCACAAACGCAGGCTACAACCTATTGCAGATCACAACCTATTAATGAATGGCACATAAAGATGCTGAACAAGGCAAACTATATCTTATCATCTAGTGGTTCAGTTAATATACAATGGTGGTTCACTGTATGAAAGATAAGACACGCAAACTTGCCTACTAAAGTAGGTTATCAGTAAACAAACAAACCTGATCATTTGGTTCTTTGATAAACTTCCCTGAAATAATACTAATAGGAAAGTTACACAAAATAAGAACTCAATTTTAATTGTGAAATGCTCTCAGTTTCCAAGAAATATTTTGAAATGTGTTATTGTACACTGCCACCTCCTGGGACCTTCCTGCATTTCAAAAACATCTGTCACAGCCATTAGGACAAAGATCAACATTTCCTAAATCACAAAAAGCTTTAGTAAGGCAGATCATTCCACAATATAAAACACAAAAGGGAGAAAAAACCTCCGTCTGTAATCATTCCCTTTTAAGCTTAAGAAAAGCATTCTTTTCAAACACTTTAGAAAGAAGTCGACTTTTCTTTTAGAAACAATCTCTCACCAGAAATACAAAATCTGAGCATCAGCAAAATTCAAGGACGAACAGATCTAGAGATTTTCTGATGAGTACTCAGCCACTGAATGTGTAAACATATACCTTTGTCACAGTTAAAACCACAGAACGCATGCATTCACACCACACATGCATATATTTCCAAATTTAAGGCTGTTAAGAATGCAATTCCAGTGGCACTGCCGCCAACTAAATCTGGGTATTGCCATGAGCTGTCAATTAATGTGATCCAGATTCAATTTTATTAACATTTTTAATCTTACATTTGAATGTACCGAGAGAAGTATGTATATTTCAACTACCACTAAAACAATGCCAATGATATAATGGTTTTGCTTTGTTTTGCCTTAAATTGATGCTACAGACTCATCAATTTTACAAGATTATTGTTACTGTCCCCTTTAAGACATATGTATTGAATTGCTGTTACACAAGAAGGTACTTTTTCCTTATTTATGCTGAAGCACAGTTAAGTAAAACTGAATGCACTTTCAAAGTAAGTACCTTTGATGACAGTATACAGGACAAATGCAGGCACCAACAATTGCACATTATGAAATTCCAGTTGCTCAGAAAACCTTTTTTCTGGGAATATTTTTTCCTGAATTCAACTAGGAGAAAAGGTTGCAAGCAGTGATATCCACAGCAGCTTTCTCTCTCTACATAGGAAGCTCTCCTCCACCTCTGCCTTGGCCCCTTTTCCTCTACAGCTAAGGAGAAGTGGAAAAGAAAAGCTGTGTCTTTCAAAACTGAGCCCTCCAGATCAAAACATACACACACATGCAGTGCATAGTATCTTCCAGGTGTGGCTCTCAACCTGTGGCCCGTCCCTCAAAGCACATCACTGGTAAATGACCAAGAAAGCACGAACCTCACTTTGGTTTAAATTCTCTGCGCTCACACCTCAGATGTGCCATTTTTTGGGGATAACCAATCAAAGAAAGTCACTCCCCTAAATGGTGCAGTTTCCAACCAATCCAGGCCCATGATCTCTTGTACACCTTCAGACATTCATGGCCCAGGAAAGACCCTGTCTTAAAAAGATCCCTTTATCCAGAGATAGAAAGGGCCCTCCTGGTCCCCCCCTGCCAAGAAGCACTACCCCGCTGCCCTGGCTGGCAGTGTAACAGCCACAACCCTGGGGAGCCCCTGGTTCTGATTCAAAAACTACCACACTGCAATGGCAGGAGGGTGGCCACCAGTCACATATTAGGGAGCCGGCCGGAACTCCCTGCAGCCTGTCCCTGGCCAAGCACAGTCAGTTCTCCTCAGCTCTCCCCACAGCCATTGCAACCCTGCAGAGCACCCCACACTGGGTAATGTTCCAGGATAAGGAAAGCTCTGAAAAAGAGGAAGAAGATGAGGAAGGATGTGGGGAGAGTGTGTGGCAAGGGGCAGAAGCATTTTGCTGACACCAGAGAATTGAGAAGCAAGATGGCAGGTCTAAGCGAAAACACAAAACACTTGCACAGGTACACGGAAACTCATAACTGCCCTCATTTCCATTCCCCAGTTATTTAACAGTCAGGCAATCTTAAAAGAAGCACCTTCTCCACACCTACCTCCCTGCAAACAACCTCATCCAGTTCAACAACTCACTGTTACATATTTGATTTTCATGTTGCTAAGAAAAAAAAGCCCATAGTTCAAAAAAAAAGCCCATAAAACGTACAGTATCTTTGAAACATGTGGCAAACACCAATACAAAAGCAACTTAGGGAAAACAGAAGCATTTCTCACTTTTCTGGTTATAAGACTCAGACCGTGGAAGACAGCAAATCCAAATATAATGGAACGAAATCTATTTCAAAATTAATTTGCTGGCAAGGCAAGGTAGGAAAACTGATTATTTCACTGCCAGTCCCTTCCTCAGCCTCTAAGTGGCAGCAGAACATAGCAATATTCCCTCAAGCACTGATTTTTAAAATCCCCACTTAGAGGGGTATGAATGAAGGCACAAAAGAGCACATCTTTTATCTGTGCACCTGCCAAGTCAAGCAGTACTGAGTCCCATTCTGCCCCTTTCCCACTGGACAAAGGCACAAAGCAAATGAACTTTGAATCCCATGTGGCATTGCAGAGCAGCTAGCTGCATCACTCTCTACACATTAGCAAAGAGGTTTGCCAGGCCAAGGCTGCTGAGAGTAGACAAAGCACGTGCAAGGAAAAAGCAGAGGCAATTATCTCTGCTACAGCTTCTAGGCAAAGTAGCTACTCTTCAGTCATTATCCTGGCTCTCCAAAGGGAGGCTTTAATCTTTCCCACGTTGGTGTACATATACAGTGCAGAGTTCATTGACTTCAACACCATACATACAGTGGGATGACGGTCTTAGGCTTCCCATTTTTACACACAACAATCTGAAATTTTCACTGTGACTATCAGGTAAATGTGGAAAATCAAGTACACCTAAGAATACAGCCTTACATGGTTCACAAGGAGGGCAGGTCCATGCTTGTTTGGATTTATCACATCAGTAAAATACTGATTTCAGCCCATTTGCATTTTCTTTACATATGCAAGCTCATCTATTCCACCACACAGAAACACACTGCACAGAGATTTACTGTTTCTATTTCAGCCACTGAGGACCCTCTATTCATTTCAGGATCTAGTTCAAAATGCTTTTCTAGATCTGTGTAGCACTTATATCCTACTCCAAGAAGATGACACGAATGTCCCTCTTTTCAGAAAGAACCTTTTTTCTGCACAGCTTCCACCATTTCTTGCCCTCTGTGTCTTGAAGTTCCAACTTAAATGTCATCTTCTTTCCCCTTACATTTTAACTACATAACAAGATTGCTTAATTCTGCAGCTTTTTGCAGACGAATAAACTGCACAAAGAATGTAGGCAGAAGTGATAACAGGAAAATTAGTGCTGGATGAGGAGATATCATCACATTGGTGAAATTAGGCTTTATGTAAAAACATTTCTCTGCCTTAAGTAAATCTGAAGCTGCCAGCATAAGGACCTTAATTCTTTATTGGCTTACACCTGTTTTGATCTCAAGCACCCACTCAAAATGAGTGTAAAAAAAATTCAAATTTGACAGTTTCTCACGCTTGCTTTCTAAATGACTGCTCAAGATGCAAAACAGGGGAGAAGGGAGCTCTTATCTAAAGTTTTAAATAGTTCACTTCTGACTTGTTTTGGCTAGGCAAATGAAAAAGAGTGAACATAAAGATATCGTGTATTTGCAAAATGCTGATATGCAGTGAATACCCAGAAAACTATCCAATGTCCTTAAAACAGCTTTTCCAGTCCGTAAAACATAATGATGAGTTTCACTTTCCAGCTGTTGCATTTGTGGTGCAAAAAGGAACATAATCAAAACATTCCTGTGCCTCTCCTTATTTTCCAGAAACACCACATTTGGATGATTAAATCTCTGGTTCATTCTCTATTTATTTCCTTGTATAATTTATGTCACACATCCAAGAACCAGTTTCAGAGTCCATTAGTGAGTAATCGATGCTTTTATTTTTATTGCCTTATTATTACACCCTTGAAGGAGTTTCTGAAACAACAGACATCAGACACAGACCAGAATAATGTCTTCAATGTGTTTTCTTTTCTGAAAGAACTTTAGATTCTGCATACGACTGAAACACTGATTGGCTGCCAGTGATGTCACAACTGTGCTTGTAATACCCAGTAAATGCAGAAAGCTAATTGTGCTCCTTTTTAATGTGTAAATTCTACTCCATAATAGCAATAAGACACAACAGACAATGCACTTCAAGGGGATTACTGCCCCTTTGAGTGATTAAAGCTATTCAGCTTTCAGCTTTAGAAACAGTGGTGAGGAAGTAATTTCAGTCATACAGGAGCTCTAGGCCTATCTATTGAAATAGGCTGACTGCCCTGGGGCAGAGGGAGCCAGCTCCCCCCATGCACACCCCCAAATGTGGTCCAGCAAGACCACGGCAGACTGAAGGTGATCATTATACTGCTCTGAATTAGTATGAAATGAGAGATCACATTTTGAAGCAGACTCTGCTGTTGGTTTCCAAACCCTGCACGGGTGAGGCTTGAGTGTCCCTTCACAAAGCAAAAAATCAGGTGAACCTCACTCCCTTATTTCTGGCCCCCCACTATGGTTCTTTCTCTTGTACTGTTAAAATCATGGTCCTAGTGAAGGATAACTTAGTACACAAGGAACTAGACTACAGCTCAAAAATGGCCACTTAGTCCAAGACTGGCAAACATTACATGAGCCACTAAATCCACCTTAAGCCACACATTCCCAAGCAGTGAGAAGAGGATAACACTGTTGTATCTTTGGGCCAACATTAATGCCACCAGCATAATGGGGATATGACCTATTAGAATAAAGAGGTCTGATGACTCCTGATATCTCAAGAAATATTTTCTTTTACCGTCCTGCTAAAAAAAGAACATCAGATTTGACACACAAAGCCTCATTTCACACCACAAACCAGCCTCCTCCTGACCTGGCTGAAACTCCAGTCCAGTCCACTGAACATTTACCCAGAGGAAGTAGCACTGTAACTAGTAAGAAACACACTGAAAGCTTTCTGCCCAGCTCCACCCTGCAGTGAAACTGTTTATTTTGGTTGTTTCCTACCAGGGTTTTTTTCATCTATCCTCCCACAGCCACCACCACTTTGCACTGCTTTCTATATGGTCACTTTACCGTGCTTGTAGCCTTTCTTTAAGACAAATTCTTGAGAGGAGCAAGTGAACCTCGTGTTGATTTGATCCCCTTATACTATGTACAAACTTGGTTTATATTGATGCGGCTGTTGTATCATATGGTCTTCCACACTACTTCTCTTCCTTTCTGCCATTTCTATACATTTCCACAAGGTCATTGGCATAAGCACACCAGTACTATTCTTCATCTTCCTAAACAAATGATTTTTTCACTTCTCTCTCATTCTCACATGCACATCCTCTACTCTCTTCACTTCTCTCTTTTTTCCCCTCTCCTTGCCACCCACAGAATTTCCATTTGACCAGTCCTGTCCTCACTCCACCCATACCTACAGAGGTTTTTTTTATTTTATACTCAGCAAGTGTCCTATATTACATTTTTATTCTGAAATCTCACTGAAAATATCAGTATAATCTTGTGTTTTATATTGTCTACCTAGTGGCATTTGCCCTTTCAGTTTTCCGGAGTTCAGGGCAATTAGATCTTTTCCATCCTCTTCATATTTTAATGCAGCTCCAGTAGCTTGTCTATAGTCATTCTTCTCAGCAAAAGCATGGAATCTGTAATACAAAATGAGTTTCCACCAGTACACGAATTACATAAACACTTTCCTAATTTTAAAGAGATGTATGTCACACATGCAAGAGCATAGTGGTGTACAGCTTCAGAATTATTTGCTAATCTATATCTAAACCTTCAACTACAATGAGGTAATGAATATTATCAAACTTTTTATATACATTGCTGTACCTTCTGAAGTCTTCTCATGTAGAACATTCTTTCATTTGAGTATTACTTACTCCAAGGCACCTTACTTTTCAATTTCCTGGAAATCTAATTTTAGTTAATGCTTTTAACATGCTGAGCAGGCATGTAATTCGAGATGTCTGAGATGACACTATCACCTTTTTATCAGATTATCCTCCCAGCTGAAAGCCTAACAGGAACATTTATTTCATTATCGACATACAAATCAGGATGACAAGCAGACTTCATTTACCCTCACTGTCAAAAGAGAGAAGCTCTCAGAGCAGGAAGAAGATGTGTTTCTAAAACAGAACTACATGAGAAAGAGGCTCAAGCCATGAAAAGCCCATGAACTGGGCTGCTTCTATGGGAAAGCTGACTTAAACTTGTAGACAGTCATTGGGCAAATAAATATCTGCCAGCAAGATATTAATTGGCCCAGTAAGTCTCTGCAGCAAAGTTAGACTCATGCAAATAGAAGACAGTGAGAATCATATCAAACAAAACAATTCCTCTCAGCTCCCCTTTTTGCCTCTCTCTTTACCATACAAGAAAAGTTCACTTTCCATTAATAAAGGAGGTAAAAACTCTGCCAAAAGAAAGTGAAGGATAGTGACTGGCAATGTACCTGGTACCATGGAGGTACCAGAGTTCTAAATGACCACAATCATTTTAAATGCACATGAGACCAGAGCAAACATAACACTTTCCCACAGTCTTGGTTTTGGCAGACACTCCATCTCTTAAAAGCTACTTCTAAACACAGATGGCTGTGAAAGAGCTAAGTAGCTTCCATCTTACCAATTCTCTGCTGTCATTTTGGAGATTTCTGCTGTTGGAGGTCTTCCCACTTTTGCACAAACAACAGTAAAACAGAAAGAGCTAGCAGCCATTTCACAAGTCTGTAACTTTTTGGTGACTTTTGTTACGCAGACAAACACCTACTGACTCCTACTGCCCTCCTGCTGTTCAGCATGAGTTTGGTATTGTGGGGTTTTGTATTTGTTCATTTGTTTTCCTTATTTTGATATCAGAATCAAGATTTAAGTAATCTTATCCCTTTCTACTGAATGCTGATTTTCACCACATGGCTGACTCCCAGGATAAAGTAGTCAACAAGCCATGTGGAATATATCAGTTTCCACCAATCATACCAAATGGATGCTAGAGAGCATGGTACAGAACTGCTTTTCCACACAACCAGGCCAGATGAAGAACACCTCATCAATTTTCTGTTACTCCATGAACCGCCCATTTAGGACAGGCATTTCCTTTTCAGTACATGTCTGTATGGCACTTGAGCCAAGAAAACTCTAGATCCTTTTCTGGTGCCTGTGGATACTACCAATGTACAAATAAATACAATAAAAACTTGTTTTAGTTTACGTTATGAACCTTTCCCCTGAACAATTTTCCAGACTTCAAAAGAGGGGGAGATGACAGACGATTTAGGATATAAAGAGGGAATGGCCTTTCTGCAAGCCAGTGAACACATACATGGAAAAAAGACGGTCTGTTTAAGTAGGGCCTGCATTCTAGTCATGTCATTTAAGACTATTTCCCCAATTTCCCCCAATCACTCACTGAACTGCTTTGTCTCATTTTCCTCATGGAAACATATTTAGATATGTTTTGATGCCATTCCTATCAGTAAAGCACTTTATGAGTACTGAAATCTTCACTGCCCTTCTTTGTCATACCTGCCAGAGGCCAAGCGGCTCAGCTCCTTCAGAAAAATAATAGTTTCATCTTCCCTAGCATTGAAAGACACAGTGTTAATTGGACAGGGGCCATCAGAAACCTTCTCAAGGAGTAGCTGTTTTGTGTCCACTGGAACATCACCCACAGCAAAGTAATAAACGGCTTCAACCTGTCATTAAACAGAAAGAAAAATGGCAACTGGAAGACATCGTTTTACATAAATGTCTGGCATGTATTCAAGCCCTGTCCTGTGCCATGTATTGGTAGGAAAACTTGGTAGAACTGATGCATTACTTGGGTGACAAGATTTTCAGACCTTTGGTTCTTTGTCTCATTTATGCTAATAATTCAAGTGAATTCCATACAAAATTTCCTGAAGTGAGAAGAGAACCTGACCCACAGCCCTCATGTCTGATTCTGCCCAATGCAACCCTCTTTCCACAGAAGTTGACTGAAACTAAAGAGAAGTGTAAGGAAGGACAAGGTTCTGTGCCACATTACACTTTTATGAAGAAACACGCTTTGTTGGTGCCTTGCCAGGGCTGAAAATCTGTAGGAATTTTTATACCAGACATAGTTTTACTGCCTGCATGTATTTTGAGGCTAGGAAAGATGCATCATTACTTGAATGCTATGGCCGGTATTTACAGATATTTTGCATTTTTAAACTTCCATAGCAGAGGGAGCTTGGTGGGTTTATATGGCCAAATACACTTATATTCTGAAAATATTATTGCAAGAAGAGAGAGAAGCTGAAGAAATGCCCTTTAGTTGTTGCTTGAGTATTACATTATGAGGGATTTTATGTTACCTGCACTTACCCATGCTAACAATTCTCATGGTTTCTTGAATTTTCACCATCATTAAAACCAAATTAAACAAACAGCTAACCGACAATTCCTTTCAAGACAATACATACAGCATATCAACATACCTACTGATAAATATCTAATAAATAGTTGCCTAACTGAAAAAATACACTCAAACACTCTCATGGAGCAGATCATCCTAAAATTATGCCAAGGCACATGAAAAATAAGGAGCTGACTGGCGACAGTGAACATGAGTTCACTAAGGGCAAATCATGTCTGACAAATCTGGTGACTTTCTACAATGGGATTACTGACCTCATCTACCTGGACTTATGCTAAGCATTTGACACTGTTCTGCAAGACATCTTTGTTTCTAATCTGGAGAGACAGGGATTTGATGGATGGACCACTTGGTGGATAAGGAATTGACTGGATGTCACACTCAAAGATTTATGGTCAACAGCTCAATGTCCAAGTGGAGACCAGTGATAAATGGTGCTCCTCTAGTTGGTACTGAGACCAGCAACTTTTAACACCTTTGTCGGTGATATGGACAGCGAGATCGAGTTTGTCAATGACACCAGGCTGTGTGGTGTGGTCAACATGCTGGAGGGAAGGGAGTCCATCCAGAGAGATCTGGACAGGCTTCAGAGGTGGACCTGTGTGAACCTCATGAAGTTCAATAAGGCCAAGTGCAAGCTCCTGCACCTGCGTCAGGGCAATCCCAAGCACAAGTAGAGGCTGGATGGAGAACGGATTGAGAGCAGTCCTTGAATGAAGGTCCTTGGTTGTGTTGGCTGATGAGAAGCTCAACATGTGTCAGCAATGTGCACTCACAGCCCAGAAAGCCAACCTGGGCTGTATGAAAAGCAGTATGGCCAGCAGGTCCAGGGAGGTGAGTCTCACCCTCTATTCCACTCTTATACTGGAGTACTGCATCCAGCTCCAGGGTCTCCAACACAAGAAGAACATGGATCTCATGGAGCAAGTCCAGAGGAGAGCCATGAAGATGATCAGAGAGCTGGAGCACCTCTCCTATGAAGAGAGGCTGAAAGAGTTGTTCAGCCTGGAGAAGAGAAGCCACCTTCCAGTACGTAAAGGGGCCTACATGAAAGCTGGAGAACAACTGTTCATAAGCCCATGTAGTGATAAGACAAGAGGGAAGGACCTTAAGATAAAGGAGAACAGATGTAGATTAGATATAAGGAAAAAATTCTTTACTATGAGGGTGGTGAGGCACTGGAACAGGTTTCCCACAGAAACTGTAGATGCCTCATCCCTGGAAGTGTTCAAGGCCAAGGTGGATGGGGCTTTGAGCAACCTGGTCTAGTGGAAGGCATTCCTGTTAATGGCAGGGGGCTGGAACTAGATGATCTTTAAGGCCCCTTCCAAGCCAAACCATTCTGTGATTCTATGATTCTACGAATATGACTAGGAATCCCTGGATGTGCACCACTAAAGAGAAGACAACTATTTGAGTTCAGGATGGCACTGAGGAAATGTTTCTGCACTCATACAATTTCATGCAGTAGTAAAGCAAATTCAATATCATCTGCAAGTGTGCTCATACATTTCTTCTGCTGCCTTTGATACTGATTGATATTTCAGCTTCCTGAGTCAACAGACTAGCACACGAACATCTTTTGTCCAATTTGTACTCAAAGCCTTCAGGCTGTAGGATCCCTGTACTATCCCACATCATAAGTTTATGAATACAAACTGACACGGACTCCTGGATTTCAGGCTTTCTCCCTCATCTACCTTTTGGCACAACTACTTAGGCTGCTCCTCAGCACTGGAAGACGTCTCTCCCAAGCAGCAACCCAATCTTAGGCTAGACCAGGCAAATTAACAAAGTGGCACTTTGCCGCCTTGAATTTCTCTTGGATTTTGTAGAGGGGTGAGACACTCCATGGGAGGCAGGGCCCATAGTTACAGACTCCATTTGCTTGGGAGCAAGAAGGTCTGTGGTCAACCAGGTGTCCTAGCATCACTGATAATTCTAGACAAATACTAATGGTAAAGATAAGAATCGTTCTGTTTCATTATAATTCAAGATTAACAAAAATACTTGTTAACTTTAGAAAAAGATGCACAGAAACAAAAAGAAAGAACTATTGCAACTCTTGCATCTATCTGTATTCTAGTTCAGTTTTACGAAGTTCCCTCTCTGCCTCCTGCAGCTAAAAGCTATATGAGCACGCACACAAATCTCCCAGATGGGACTCAGTTCTTGGACAATACTACGTTTCTATTGCTTTTGCTGGAGGCTCCTGGCCCAGAGGAGTCTATGCATATTGCACAACCACTTTTTCCTGTGTTCCTTCAGATTCACATCTTCTCCACCTCCCTCCTAAGACTGCCAATAATTCATAAAGTTGATGTTCAATAAGAATAGAAATTTTCACACTTTCTCACACTGCCTGCCTCTGCAACTTTTCAAAATGCTGACATTTGTTGGGCATAGCTGATAAAGAACCAACTCCTTACAAGAAAATTTAAAAAAATTGCTAACTACAGATTATTCACTCAACTTCAAACTCAGCAATAAAATACCACAAAGGAAATGTTCCTATAGATTAGTGGGGAAAGGTTAAAACCTTTCAATTTAGTCCTTCATATTTTGAAAATTGTAATTTATACATCTAAACAAGCGAACAAACTTTATACAAGAACAGGATGGAGAACAACATGAACAGTTCCTCATAGTCTTGATCTTGATGGGGAGGCATGTTTTGGATGGGTGATCCACACTTCGCAGAGTGGCACCTGTACAGAACCACAAGTTAGACACTGTGGATGCATCTGTGGCATATAGAGCTCAAAGGAGTGCAGCCTTACAGAAGAAGACAGCTCATGAGGAAAGGAAATCTAAGGAGTCACCACACATGGGAAGAAAAGGCCAGCTAAAGGAATGACAGGAAGAGCCACGTATAGAGGGGAAAAAAGAGATATTCTTTTGGAGCAATTTCTTTTGATGAAGCCATTTCTGAGGAATGAGTCATTTATGACAAGTTCAGTATGTAGACAGCTTTTGCCTAGGACTGAGTGTGGTCTCCACCAGCTGCAGTACAGTGACATTTGCACTCAAGTGAACTGTCAGTTATGAATGATAATCACTTTATTTAGGAGTAATTGAAGGTTTTTTTATGTTGAGCACCTGCCACAGTTGACTCCCCCAGATTGCCCCTTAGCCCACCTATATTCAGACAAAAATAATAGATGTCTCACTATTGGACAGATTTTAATTTCTGTTTATTCAAACAGAGAGCCACCAGGTCCAACAAGACTTTTTTTCATCCAAACAATACTGAAATCTAAATGTGGTCCTTTTAGTTATTTACCAGGAAATCAGTACCACACTGCATATTGAAAATGTTAATAAAATTTATGAAGGAGGCATTTTAAAAAGCAGTCATAAAAAGTCTCACTGGTGCATAATTTGTTCCTCACACAATTCCTTTTTTAATATCAGTTTCCAGACATCAAGGTTCATCTGGATAACAATCCAACAGCATAGGAAACCAGAAGGTAACTCAAGCCAAATTTACCTTCTCCTTCAAACAACATCCCAGAAAGAAATTTACAAAAGAGGTAGGACTGGATCTGTGCACAGGGATGGATGTTAGTGGCAGTTAAAACCAATATTCTGCTCCATACACAGTAGGCACAATTTTTGATTAAATTCAGGTATTAGGGAACTGAATGTACATTGTAAGCAAATGTCATAAAATATCTCTTTCATAACTCAAGTTTTAAGTGGCTAGCTCAAATGATAGCATATATGTTTCATGTCTTGTGACTCTGCTATAATGATTAAAGTAATATGGTACTTTTAGAAATTAACAGCATTTAATTGCAGGAATAACTGTGCATGGCTTTGTCTCTGTCACAGAAGAAACTCTAGCTATAACCTGACTGGTGAAAAAGGATTTGTGTATCCCTACCATGAGTTAATGCTTACATAAATCTCTGTATCACTATTTTGGATTTTAAATATAATTTTTCATTAGCATGTTGGATACATAACAAAATAAAAACGGTTTCTCTGTCTTCAATAATGTTCATACTAACAATTTTCTCACGAGCTCGAAGCCCCGAAAAATATATATAGCAAAGAAAGTGGAAGGGAAGATACTTTCTCTTTCCCTTAATGATTGAATACATTGTTTATTCTGGGTACTCTAGAAAAGAAAATAAACAAGTTTCTGCATTCAAAATACAGTACATTTACATAAACAGGCCATCAGTAAGCATAGTATGCAGTTATACTTGTGGGGAAAAAAACCCTTTCCAAATGCTGTCATTAATATTTATCCTTGCAGCATTCATCAGGCAAATCACAGCAGCCAGTCTGGCATTGTATTTTCTTGGATTTACTTGAGGCTTCTGAAAAGATGTATGAGCTTACCGCCTCATCACCCATGGCTTCCAGCAGGGCTTCAGCAGAGTTGGTATGGCTGACAGCTGTCATATGGTCCAGCATCCAGAGCCACATAACAGCAGCCTTTACAGTATGGTCAGACACAGGAGCAGGTTTCTGTTGCCACTTCATAAGATTCTGTGCAGCCCTGAAAATGAGATTAACGATAAATCAGAAATAGTGAGAATAATGCTGGCAGAACAAGAGAGCAGAGCTCTGCTATTATTACAATTCTTTTATATTCTTAAGTAGTAATTACAATATACCACAGATACTAAATCTAGACTTGAAATAAAAGAAGCAGAGGGAAAATAACATAATTAGAAAAATACTGTAGTTATATATGATTTTTTTGAGACAACTGTTTCCAAAGTAGGGTCAGGAGACCTAAAGTATGTCAAAAAGAGTTCCTGATTCGTATCTCACTTTAACATAAAAACTCAATCAGGTTTTTAAAATATGAGTATGAAAAAAAAGAAGAGTCTTCTACAGGTCTCGTTCCACAACTTGTTGCACAACTTTTGCGTCAGACCAGTTTAACTGACACTTTTTTCCTAGTAAGGCTGATCTTTAGCTATCTATCAAAAATGAAATTTGTGATGCTAAGCTTTTTGATATTTTAGTTGTTAAAGGGCTTAGTCTTAATGGAAGAAGTTCAAAGCAAATGAGCATGTTTGACCATTCACTTATACATAAAAAGGAACTAAAAAACCAACTGGTTCCAGTATCTGTGACATTCCATTAAGCACTATTTTGAAGAGTTTCCTGCAAATCTAAAAGACAAATATGTATCCCAAGATTCTTTTAAAGTAATAATTTATATGCTGCATTGTCCTTTGTCTCTCTCCTGCAAAACCAAACAACTTGATTAACTTAATTATTATGTCTCAATTTTGACTTGGCTTTGCAGTTCATTTTTGAAGAAAATATCTACTTCTGCAACAGATGGCCCAAAGAAACTGTGGATGCCCCAACACTGGAAGTGTTCAAGGCCGAGTTGGATGGGGCTTTAAGCAACCTGGTCTGGTTGGTGTCCCTGCCCATGGCAGGGGCGCTGGAGCTAGATGATCTTTAATGTCCCTTCCAACCCAAACCATTCTATGATTCTATTATTCTTTTTTTCAGTTGTATCACAATCTAGAGAATTAAAATAGAGCAGTAGAGCAGTACAAATCTGTTAGACAATGCTTGGGTAAAATAGCATTAAGAATCACAGTGCAGTTTCAAGTTAGCATTGTAGAACCAATTTTAAAATTATATGAACTAATTTGTGCATCATTTTTTTCCACTAATCTATCCAAACCCAATCTTACAAGTTCAAACTTTTATGCATATGAGAATTTTAGCAGAGATAGGTAAAATTTGAATAGCTGCTTCTATTCTCTATTTGTAACTAAATGCTAATTCATTTACTCCTTTTACAGAACAAGCGATTGCCTTTTGTTATGGAAATCTACTATTGTTTCCTAGTTCTGCTACTGATTTCTGTGACCATGGAAAGCTATAGAAATACAAAACGCTATGCCTATGGCACTCGGTGGAGTGTTAATTTAGCTGCAAGGCAGAAACCTTAATGCCTAAAGATACAAGAATGCCTGGGCGGTCAGATAGGACCTCACTTTTTCACTCTCGAATATTTCAATGCCTGAAGGGCACTACTGCTATTGTAAAGTCCACCTATCTTTTTGAGTTTCTATGCTACATTTGTAGACTGCATATATTAGTATTTGGGTTCTGTTCCTCTTTATCTGTTCTTCATGGTAACAGTGGTCTTCTTTTAAATGGAAGTAGCAAGCTCAAGTGACTAGGGATGGATCTTGGTGGAAAATCTATAGATGAATGACATGAATCATGACAATTTACAGTACAGAAAGCATCTTATACAAGTACATGTCTATATAATATGCAGCGCCTTTCTGTTCTCCAGCAATGGGCCAACACGGACTTCTTTGTTCAGCTTGGAAAGGGCTCTGGGCAGACCTGACTGTGGCCTTTCAGCACTTAAAGGGACTTTTAGAAAAATTGGGGGAGACTTTTTAGTAGGGCCTGTAGCAATAGGAGAAGGGGTGATGGTTTTAAACTAAAAGAAAGTAGATTCAGACTAGATATAGGGAAGAATTTTTTTACAATGAGGGTACTCAAACACAGGAATGGGTTGCCCAAAGAAGTGGGAGATGCCTCATCCCTGGAAACATTCAAGGTCAGGCTGGATGGGGCTTTGAGACACGTGATCCAGTGCAATATGTCCCTGCTCATTGCAGGGGTGTTGGACCAGATGACCTTCAAAGGCATCTTCCAACCCAAACCACTCTGATTCTATGATTCTTCCTGCTTACCGAATGAGGTTGAATCTGGCAATTTGGATCACCTGTTCCACAAGTACCATAGAAAGTGCATCCCGACATAGATCAAATTCAGTTGGAGTTGCAGTGCCAAAATCCAAAACAATGACAATGCACCGTTCTTGAATCACTCCAAATATCTGCCGGCTCTCACTGGTTAACCATTCCATTCGCTGCTTATACAGCTCAATAGCTCCCATTAGACAATCCACAAAATGAAGAATCAGTTCTTTTTTGGCTGTCAGCTTTATTTAAATAAGGGAGAGAAGGAAATTGAACATCAGAACAAATAATACAAATGCAGCCCCAAGCTCAGCACAGGTGCAATAGCTGGTTTGCAAGTGTCAGATATGCCAACCAAGGAACAAGCCATTTTCCTTCCACTATTTCAAGAGCAAATACTTGACAAATGCATCTAAGCTATAAAGAAAAGGCACTGCATTTTGTTCCTAATTGCTTTTCATAATCTTTTATATGAGCATGGGACAGTGCCAGTGGGTTGGCTGACTTGTCTGTCTCAAAACTGGAGCAATTAGAATGAGCTGAACACAGTCTAGGATGTAGAAAGGGCTGCAGAGCAGATGGGTGAATAAACAAGACAGAGAAACTGTACCTTCTTAGACTAGAATTTTGATTGGCTCTTAAAATTTTTTACAGCAATACAAGGGAGCATACGGTTTGGTTTTGGGGCACTTCAATCTCCACCTTGTCTTTAGCATTTGAAAGGAAAATGCAAAGTGTTTCTTGTTTGTACTATTATTTCACTAAAAATAGCCAGCATTACAGATTAACTATTTGCAGGTAGGTACTTAGACAAATTTAGTTCAGATAACTGCAATAAACAACTAAAACTTCCCATACCATTTCAGAAATGTAAGAAAAGTCTAGATTCAGTATCAAAATTAAAACCAGCAGATCCTCCCTATGAATACATGTATACACATTCACCATGACCTGTGGGTTTAAAAATGCACCACAGATTCCAGTAAAGATATTCCCCCAAAATCTCTGACCCATGTGAGCCGATTTACTGATTGCCTTCTATCTCTAACTACCTTTCCGGGACTAAGTACAAAACCTTGAATATACAAATGTTTTTAAACAAGAACATTTCTCAGGGAGAAGTAATTTTCTGTGTCAGTCTGCACACTTCTCCCTCTCATTTGTATTTTTCTGTGTTCTTTAATATCAGCTAGTGCCCTGTAATGTGCCTCCCAGATACAGAGTCTCAGGCAGTCTGCCAAAGGAATGTAGGCTTGGGAAGGAGCATTTAGAAATCCAGTTTCCTCCTATGACAGTCAGACTCATACAAAGAAGCTTATTGCACTACACTGACAAAACTCCATTTTAAAATAAAGAAGTTTTCTTGCAATACTCTCTTATTTGTATTTAGCCAGTCCAGATTTCCATTTCTCTGAGGGCTGGAAAACTTCTGACTGTCCAGCTGAATTTAATCATGGCAATTCATACCCATTTATTTTTGGACTAGCATGCCTTTTAGCATAGAAAACCATAGATTTTCTCTATCCCTGTCATTTGCCTTTCTGTAGCATTCAAGGGGCAATAACACTACCCTTCATCAGTCTTTGTCAGACTTACATTTCAGCATCAACCAAGCCCGCTTATAAGATCAGTACTCCATTGCAGTTCATCCTACTAGCTCTTCCCAGTACCTGCTCTGGTTTGAATTGCTTCATCTCAGCCTGTGGTAATTGTACACAATATTGTACACAATATCCTAAATGAGATCTGACCAGATCTTGTATAGTGGCAAAAATGTTTTCGCTGCTGCTCTCATCATGTCCTAAGATTAAAAGACATTATGTAGATATTTCATATGGGAAAAAAAATGAGGGAAAAAGGCTCCCTGAAATGGTTCTTTACCCTTGTCCCTCAGAAGTTACTCTAGTCATCAGAAAAAATGACAAGCCATTTGCTTTTGTAAAATCCTTTATAAATTAACTCTCTCCCTTCCCCACTCACAGGCACATCTCTTCAATCAGAATCCATCCTCTTAACAATGGGGCTGCCAGCAGCTGTTGCTAAGACATTCCTTAGAACACAAGCCTGGGCAGAGATCCAGCTTGCTGTCTCTATAGAATAGGCTGAGCCTTTTGTGACCTGCTGGCACTAAGCAAAGCAGTGCTTTGCATTGGCAATGACAGCGCATTTTGTCTTCTTATTTCAGCATGCTGATTTGTTTTATTGATTATGATTTTATTTTTTTAACTCATTCTGAGCATCATCTTTTTAAGGGTTCCCTCTTTCAAGACAGAGTAAATGTTGCTTAGAAACTGCATCTTGTCTGGAAAAGATTTACTGCAATGCTGCAGCAAGGCAAGAGCATAACACTATGAAATGAAAAAAGATAGCTAGCTTTTCTACCACTGATGGTTAACACTAACAGTTTGACAGAAAGAAGAAAAAATTATCAAAAGATAAAGTTCTCACAAAGAATTGAAGTATTTATGACACAGGGAGGCATTTTAGTCACATCATTCTGCCACAGTGATAAAAACTTCTAAGTGCACAGGGAAGTTACCACAAGTCAGCCACACTTACATTATAGACACTGCCATCTTGTGCTCTCTTGTACTGAGGAAACAGACCATCTGCAAACCGAGAAGCCACAGGTTTCCCCAAGGTGGTCACATAATCTACAGCAAAATTTACAAGAGATCAAGCTGCTAATCTTAAGGACTACTTCAAACAGATATTTTTCAGGTTGATGTGTGTCTCATCTATATGAGGTACATGCATCAGTATCAAGCAGTTGACATTAAGAAATTTGAGAGAAATTCTAATTTTTTGTTTTACAATTATTTTCTTTCTATATCTATGATGGGACCCTGAGGCCCCCCAACAGTCCCCGACTGCCCTCATCGGCCTCAGCTGGGGTTTCTAGGTGCATCACACAGAGTTTCACAGGGTATATCGGGCCTGGGCACACAGTCTCTGCTCTAGCCATGTCATAGGTGTACCTGTCTCAAGTTCTGCTAGTGGACCTCTCTGCTGGGTAGATCCCTCAGCCCTGTATTATAGCCTTGTCTGCAGTTCTGTTTAATGGATACTCTAAGACCTGTGTGATGGCCTTGGCTCTAGTCTTACCTCTAACTTCATCTCCTGTTGCTCCTGGCTGCACTCCCTGACTGGGCCCTAGACACGATTATAATCAGCTCACCCTGCTGCAGGACTGCATCATGTTCAGTGAGGGCACTGCCTGGGCTGCAGTCCTTTTTTGGCTCCTGGCTCACTCTGCCCTCATAGAGCAGCCCTGCTTTTGCTGCTCCCTGATAGTTTAGTCAGAAGTGGGGAAAAAAACCACATCTAATTATTTATAGGCCAAAAGGCTACATGGGACTTTAATAAATGGAGGTTTAGGCAACCTCACAACAGGACTTGCAAATATTTGTCTGTCAAACAAAATACAGAATCTGGTACAGATAATGCTGTTCTCTTACACAACTAAATGGGTGCAGAATTGAGTGCATCTAAGGAAAAGGTTGCATTCTGCTCTTTCAGTAGCTAGAAATCTTCTACAGGATCACCACTGATAGGAAAACATTAGGGGTGGGAACATTTAACGTCATAAAGCGGCTATCTGTACAGCATGCTGCCTTGCCAAGCCAGTACATTCTGCTCCTAACACTGTGACAACTTTCACCCTGCTTAACAGCTTCTTCTTCATCTGCAGCATACAGTATTTCAGGAACTGCACTGGTGATCTTTGAATCCCCCATGGACACAGGCCAGCCAAAATCTTAAGTTATGCAACCTAGAACAATTGCAATACATTACAATTCCTACTTCTCAAGCAGCAAGCTGTTCAAAGAAAGAAATATCTTACCATGCTCTGCAAAGCACCATTATGGCAGCAGTTAATAATTATTAGCAAACTCTTCCCCTCCAGCTGTCAGATAACTGCAAAGGAACATTTTTCTATAGCCTGACTTTGCATGAAAAGCAGACTGAATTCTAATTAAATGTAACTGTTTCCTTAAAGCTGAATACCTGGAAATACTATACTATTCCCAAGTAGCTTAGCTAACCCTGATGATCAATAGCAGATTGCAGATTATGGCACGACATACATTATATTTGCAATGTGAAAACAGATAGAGATTTTATCACATGCTATTTGCAGGAAAAATACTAGCAGCCTCAGCAGCCTGAGCTACTGCCCACTACAGCTAAATTGGACAGGATGTGAACAGGAGCCCAGGTAAAGCGACAGTAGAACTGTGTAAGGAAAGCCCTTCTCAGATCCTAAGTCCTTCTCATATCAAAGGGAGATGGAGTTTCTCAGTTCTCTGAACTGGCAACATCAGCAACTATGGATACAGCTCCCCTTTCTGCCATTATCATGAGAGACAATTTAAAAATCTGCAATGCGTACATTGGGGTGCAAAATTAGTGTGACCCTACAGACTACGCAAAGTTAGGGGGTTTATTATCCTATTATTGATTTGTCTTATACCTTTCCTGTGCTGCAATCCAATCTGTGACAAAATCTGGGAGAAGGACAATTTGTTTCTTTTGAGACCGTAACGTTGAAGCCATTCAGAAGAGGAAACAAGGGATTGTACATCTGTGCTCCACTGACTGATTGCCAGTCTTCTTTCCTTCTCTTTTGATTCTTTCTTGTGGGCCTCATGGGAATCTTCAAGATCTTGCCTGTGCTTTGAATCAAAGACATCTGTTGTAAAGATAAATGAGGGAAACGCAACTTTTATACTTTAACCAAACAATTCCAAAACCAAATGAAATTAATTATCTCCTTTCTTCACCTATATTCCATGGTCCTCTGTACATATATAGTTCATCTCTTGTTTTCTTTTTTTATAATAAACAATGTTCTTAATCTGGAAAGCTGCTCTCAGTTCGACATATCTACTTGCTGTTATATCTTTTTCTTCATTCATACACATTTATCTTCAATTTATTAAAGAAAATGTCTCTTGTGTGCTGAAATTCAAGCTCTGAAATCTAAGTCTGGTTTGCCAAATGGAAATTCTTCCAGCTCCTAAGACATCTCTCCTAAGTCTTGGGAATCAGAACTCATAATAGGCATTGAAAGATTGTCAGACCATCACTACATGCACATTTAGTAGCATTATGCAATAAACACGATTTCCTAACAAATATATGTTGAAGTCCTACCATAAGCAATAGCAATGCCTGCAGCAGATCCTGACTTTATTGCAAGGCTGGTGAAACTCCTTCTCCTCACACAATTTTCCTCAAGTGTAAATGATGGTTCTGGCAGTATCTGCTCTGGGCTGTGACATATCATGTGCATGCACAGGAAATCATAGAAATGAAGGTCCATTTTCATTTTAAATTCTACAGGCCATGGAACACATCTCAACACCGATGTATAGTTGGCTGGGCTTGCTCCGCTTGCATCTGGCAGCAGAGACAGCTCAGAGCAGAGAGTGGCTGAGGGAGAAATGGAAGCAATGACAACAGTAATGCCTCTGTTCCTCAGCACAGAGGTTCTAGGAGGACCTTGGTATTTCCTGTTCATTCTCAAAATACTCTGCATGAGTTAAGCTGCCTCTAGTTGATTAAATACCCTTGCTGTATCTAAGTGTATTTTCTGTGGCCTTTGAAATTTTCTATTAATTTTCCCCAGCATCATCTGGTATATCCTAGTTCTCCATTACCTATATACTGTAAGTTGCCTGTAAATGTACTGCCTGCACCAAACTGCTCCAAAATACAAAGAAGGGTACTTTTATCTTTAATGACTACAAAATAATCTTCAGTCTAGTATGGAATATGATCAGAACTCTCTGCTAAGATCAAATATTATAACAACTGACCTGGTTACAAAGGTTCATTAGATAGTTGCTCAGTTAACACTACATACAGGAAATGAGACTCTACCTTCAGAAATCATCTTTCAGTGACAGAGGGCTTCTATACAGTGTAGACTGGCACCAGCTCTTTCACAGTAATCAGTCCTACAAGCAGGGTGTTGGGCTGGCATGCCTGTAGAGTTTGGCATTTTACCAGCCCTTCTCCTTTGCTCCACACAGAAGCAGCAGCAACAGATGTTAACTCTAGAGAGAGGTAGGTGAAGATTTGCAGCTCCTCAAGCTCTGTATATAGTCAGGCATTGTTTGTAGTCACTTGAACAATCATTCCCAGTTTCCTTCTTCAAAAACACATAAAGGCAAGCACAGCACCCCACAAACAGCCCAGGGAAGAGTGGAACAGCTTCAGAATGGCTTGTACACAGCTAGCAGCACGCACGCTACAAAGTTTCAAAGGAAACTGGAAATTATCTGGGAAAACATGGAATCTATGCAAAAATAGTGCTGAAATACTCACAGTCACTCCAGGCACTTCTCTTAGATGTACTGGCAGTCATGACAGATCTCTTGATTGGCAGCTCCTCTTTGCCTTCTTCTTAAACCCTGAGGAATTATTATGTTTTAAGAAATTTAAAATATTGCCATGCAAAGGTAAATATGAACTGGAGATGAGCTCCACAGGTCCAGCCAATAAAAAACTGCAGAAGGATGAGATCAAGATTTTCCTCATGAGATCAAGATTTTTCTCAAGAATAATAATAGTATAAAGTAAAAAGAATAGCTACTCCCCATGTCAAGAAAGGCTGAAGTCAAATTTGACAGTGAGCCCCATACTTAAGAAAGTAGGAAATTGGTAATATCATTTCCCTTCCTTCACTCTAAATTATCATAAAAAAAGAGACAATATACTAGAAAAATAAGTGTGGTGTTTTGGCCTGCTGTCAGCCAGTTATATTATATTCTATTATTGCTTTGCAGTATACCTTACCTTTGCTATAATCCAATTTATGACTAAACCTGGGATTATCTGAGACACAATTTTGTGAAGAGATTCACAACTTTGCCTATAAGACTACAAATGATTCACAAAGAAAAAGAATTATGTGTGTATACATGTACAAGAATGTGGTATAAGGCCCAACTGTGAATAAGACACAGCACATGAACAGAAAACAAAATGCCAGACAAAGCAAGGTAGCATATATTGGCTGAGTGTACTGCTTTGAGGCATCATGCTTTGCCATTTACTTGGTTCTTCTTTTAATAAATAAGATGAATGAATGAGGGATATCTATGAATCATGGAGCAGGCACAGCTGTTAGCTATTGTCGTCAAGCAGTTTTTCCCACAGGAAAAGGAAAAATGGGATAAAATATTAACCCAAGGACTTAGTCTCCTCCCTCTTTCTTCATTACAGAATGGAACATGCTATTTATTCCTCTCATATGGGTTTAAATACCCATATGGAAACATATAAAGCATTCCAGTCTTTGTCCTGCTCATGCAGAAAGATGTGAACAATGTAAAAGGCAGGGAGGACTTTAAAAAACCAGGACTCTGTTCTGCACCCTAACTCCCCAGGTGTTGTGCAGAATATGCTCCCCAGCAGCACAGCTCCTGACTAGCCTAGACTTGGAATCAGCACAGTAAAAAGGAGCCCTTGCCACAGGGGAGCCATGGTAGAAAACAGCCATAGTGAATGGCCATAGCAAGCCACCAAGCTTGTGCCATTTCTCTCTCAGAATGCAGAAACGGTGCCACAACACTCACAGTAGTAGCTGAGACACATTTCAGGCAGCAGCCTGCATCAGAGAACGAATCCCAGGTGCCATCACATTTTCCAGATGCCCAGGGGTGTAGCCTCCAGCACCACCCTCAGCTGCTTGAACAGCACCTGGACGTGAAACACTGCCTCTGTATGAAAAGGAGTATTTGAAAGGAGACAAAGCAACTTTCAATGGAAACTGCAAGTTTTACCTCAAGTCTTGGAATCAGCGAGTTCAAAAACGATGACAGCTGCGATAACCTTCAGCCCAAGATCTGAATCCAAACAGATTATTTTCAAATGATGAACTAGAGTTCATCTGGGCACCTCTAAGCTTTCCACTCCGGCCAGTGCAAACAAACCACAAAAACTTTCACCCAGCACCTGCTCAGAGTTTGTAACACACGTGTGGATGGCAGTGTTTGCTGAGGCCATTACACCTGGCTACCCCTCACAGGAGGGAATGCCTCGGGAAAGCCCACACTCCCTACAGCCCAAGAAGCCACCACACACCATCTGAAACACTGAACCCCCGGTGAAAGGAGTGGGGGGGGCTGAGGTGGGCGGCTGCCCACTGAAGAAACTGAATCACAGAATCACAGAACGGGAAAGGTTGGAAGGGACCACAGTGGGTCATCTGGTCAACCTCCCTGCTCAAGCAGTATATGGCACAGGATTGCATCCAGACAATTCTGGAGTATCTCCAGAAGGGAGACTCCACAACCCCTCTGGACAACCTGTTCCAGCGCACGGTCACTCAGGAAAGAAGTTCTTCCACATGCTCAGTTTCTGCCCGTTGCCTCGTGTCCTAGTGGTTGGCAGCACTGAGAAGAGCCTGGCTCCATCCTCTTTAGATATTTATACACACTGATAAAGTTCCCTCTCAAATGGGTCAGAGGGGTCAAAACCCCAGCGGGGCCTGACGAAGCGGAGATGCGGAGCAAGGGCCAGGGCCATGCCACCCACCGGCGCTGCGCCGTCGCAGCGGCCACCTGAGGTAACCGGCCGCGTCCCCGGATACGCCGCATCGAAACGGGCGGGGGAGAGAAGTTGGGGCCTCTACGGTGAAGAACCACGGCTCGGCGGCACATCCCCCGCCAGCGCCGAGGCCGCGCCGCCGCTGCCCTGCGGCGGGACGTGGGGCCTCCGCCTCTGCCGCCGCCTCTCCTCCCCCAGCCTGGCGGCCCTCACCTGCCTCCGGCCGCGCCGCCGCCCGCCCGCCCTCAGTGCGCCTGTGAACCCGGAGACCGCCCGGTTGCTACGGCACAGCCTCGCCTCAGCCCCGCGCCCCAACCACCGGGCGGGGAGGAGGGAAAGCGCGAGGGCAGAGCGGCCCGAGGGCGGCCCGCGGGATGGCACAGGGCGCGGGCACGGGCGGCTCCGGGGCCGCTGCCGCTGGCCCGGCCACTGCTGCTGTCCCCCCCGCCCTTGCCGCTGGCCACCCCTGCTCCTGCCCTTGCCACCGCCCCTGCCGCTGTCCTGGCCACTGCTCCTGCCCCTGCCGCTGTCCCGGCCACTGCTGCTGCTGCCGCCGCGGGGAAATCCATGCGGAGTAAATTCATTGTCAACAGGCGCCGGGACAACGCCGTGCATTCATTCATTTGGGAGCCAGAAATACACGGGCCAACTCAGTCGCAGAAATCTATGTATAGCAGATTCAAGTTTCTGTTCTCGTTAATTCTTAATTTAGGCTAAGCCGTTGACAATATTTATACCAAGAGCAACCAAGCTTGTCCTTTATTTAAGTCAGAGGAACAATACGCCCTGGCTAGGGAGTTGCTGTGCTCCCAGAATCACAGAGAACCACAGAATGGGTCAGGTTGGAAGGGACCACAGTGGATCATCTGGTCCAACCTCCCTGCTCAAGCAGGGTTGTCCTAGAGCAAATGGCACAGGACTGTGTCCGGACGGTTCTTGAATATCTCCAGTGAGGAAGGCTCCACAACCTCTGTGGGCAACAGTTCCAGTGCACAGTCACCCACACAGTAAAGAAGTTCTTCCACACGTTCAGGTGGAACTTCCTGTGCATCAGTTTCTGCCTGTTGCCTCGTGTCCTAGTGGTTGGCAGCACTGAGAAGTGCCTGGCTCCATCCTCTTGACACCCCCTCTTTAGATATTTATACATAATAGTGAGGTCCCCTCTCAGTCATCTCTTCTTGAGGCTGAACAGACCCAATTCCTTCACTCTTCTCCCAGAGAAGCCAAACTAAAAATTATTCTAATGTAGTAAAATATACAAAAAGATGTGCACCATAAACCTGAACATAGTATTAAAAAGCTCCCATTGATGTCAGATAGCCAGAACCCCAGGTCTGGCTGAGGTTGCAGTATTTGGTCTGTAGTTTGTGAGTGCAGTTTCCAGCTGAGAGACAGTGCTGAGCTTTACACGTTCCCTGTTTTGCTCTGGTTTACTATGCAATCACAGAGTAATAAAAGATTGGTCACTTTACAGGATCAACGGATCAGCCTTATCTACATATTGATGTCCATATGGAAAGACACACCCACAGGCCATCTTGCAGCACACCAAAGCGCTGACTTCAACTCTCCAGGATTGGTAAACAGTGATAGGCAATAAAAGTTCCTTACAAGGCATGCAGTTGGGATGGGAACATGACTTCCTGGAGCTCCAGCTTCTCATACAGTTGGAACTAAGGGTTTGAAGACTAGCCTAGGCATGGCAAGTCATTCAGGATTGCACAACTCTTGCCCTGAGCTATAGAAAAGGCATTTTTTTCCTCAGGCATGAAACATTTTCTCATTATATCATTAAAAATAGTAGGTACTAAATGTTCTCAGGATCCTTTCAGACACCATGACTGCCATAGTGCAAGCTTCTGTAGAGACCCACATTTTTTGGTGGGGGGCTTAAAAAATTTCTCTTGAAAGTGTAAGGGCAATGGATTTATAAGTAGATGTCCAAAAATCAAACTGGTCAATCTCTTGATTTGTTATGCTGCTTCCAGCAACAGAAATTTTTTTATCTAACACCTAAAATTCCTCACTTAGGTAATTTTTTCTCCACTATACAGTAAAACTACATCCATTCTCATGCCTAAATGTCTGTAAATGTAGTAATTAGAAGTTTAAAAAAAAAAGAGGGTTATATGTGCTGAAACTTTCTATGCATAGGGTGTGCCAGAAGCCTTCACTCAAGGCTTGGCTATGCTAAACAAAATGTGTTGCAAGAAAACATTCCTCACAATGCTTTGAACTGCAGGGTTTATAGAACCGCCTGACAAGCCCAGGGGCAAAGGCTGACAAATGCAAAGCTACTTCTGGCTCCCACAGGCTTCATGATCAACTGGCTGTCGTCTCTTAGGTAAAGTTCTTAGGAAAATAAAATGCTTCCTGCACATCACATAAACGTTGTTCCTTGTTCAAGTCAAAGCCCTGCCTTGGCCATTGTCCGCTCTCCAACTTGTGTGGAAAATGAAGAATGTATTCTCCAGATGCTGCCTGCTGAATGGGGCAGGGCTGACTAATATAGGAGGCGGGGATCCTAGTGAGTTGGAAGTGGGAATTCACTCCTCGTACAGGGATAATAAAATTAAATCTGGAGCCATTCTGTCATCTGACCTTTAGGCTGAATGACAAAGTAATATTGATGGGTGGAAAGCATGTTATTACATCATTCATCGGAGAATGCATTGCAACATAGGTCTGAGACTGCATTAGCAAGCATGACTTTGTCCTGACTCCAGTATTTCACCTATCGATAGATATATTTGATCACTTTTTCTTACGGCTAAAAATCGGCATTGTCAGCATTTTCTCTGTGTATTTCTCTATATTTTTCCATAGCAGTGCTTAAAACATGAAACTCTTGGCTTGTGTT